CCCACCCAAAGTTTGAAATATCTACGGTCTACGACATTGGAATCCAAAGATATAGGGTTTAGAAAAGCAGAGTTTGTGGCAAAGACTCAACTCCTTTAAGCATAAATCTTGATCCCTGAGGGGTTTGTTCGGTGATAATGGATGGGTCAATCTGCAGAACAATCCAGAGATGATTTCAAGGATGTACGCGGGGAGGAAGTCTTTAGCTACTAAAATTCCAGAAGAAATTCTGAGGCGAAGCATTTTTCAAAGTGCGTTCTATTACAATTAAATCAAGTTAACCCTGGAGGGTATGGACCACCTCAAGATATCCAAGAGGTATTTGATTATAAGTTTGTATAAGATAGAGATCACACACAAACACAAAAGTTATGATTTAGTTTGTTAAAACTTGAACAAACTAATCTAAAGTTACATAAAACAAAGCTTATGAAATTCAATGATGTATGTAAAATTTCGAAGTTATAACTCCGCTATAACTTGATAATATTAATTAAAGCTCTCTAACTTTAACAGCATTTTTAGAAATTAAGAAAAAAAAACAGAATATTTTCTCGAAAATCTTTTAAAACTAAATATTTTTATTTTCCGTTAAGATATTTGGTTTAACAATATTTTACAGATTACATATTATTAATCACAATAATTGATGTACAGTACGGAAATATGCTTTTATTTATAAGTAATTAGCAAATGAAATCTAAACAAAGTAAAGTTGAAATTTGGAAAGTAAAACCCAGAATTTCCGCGTTTCGATATACAACTGCTCGAAATCAGCGCCGCCATTCAGACATAATTAATTTAAGTCTTATATTTTATTCTCACAAAGTTAGTCAATCTGCTGACGGAAAGATTTTCTTTTGAGGGAGGTTATAGGAAAGGCTTGGAAGTGAGGTTTCGTTTAAAAATTCGTTTAAAATACAGCATGGAAAATTTTTTCTTTTCAATTTTTCCACTAAATCTTGTAACGAAAACTTTCTTTGATCGGTGCGTTTGTCAACATCAACTGTCAACAATGCCTCGGGGCATGATGTAAGAGATTGAGTTTCCTCTTCTCTGTATTCCGCTGAGAGTACATCAGGAAGTCTCCCAGATATTACGTAGTCTGTTCGCGGAGAAGGTTTTATAGGAAAACTGATAAATGCAAAAAAAAACTTATAAATGCAAAGAAAACTGATAAATGCAAGAAAACTGATAAAATCTTGAATATCAAATGAAAGTTAATCCTAAAAATCTACGATATAGATCAATTTTTTCTAACTTGAGTAATTAAAAAGACTAAGAGCGTAATTTCAAGTGACCCTCCGTGCAAAGATAACAGTGTCCGTTTACAAAGGTACCCTTAAAAGCTTTGTCCAATCTAGGTTTAATCAGATATTCATGTTTTTGTTTCTGTAAACTGTTAATTTTCAATTGCAGTTTCTCTTCAAGGTTACTTGCGCATTTCTTGCTATTAAGAAATTATTACACTAGACAATGTTTTGAGTCAGATACGCGACCGTTATCTTCCAATAAGCTTTTGAGGTTACCGTTGTAAATCGGGCATTGCTATTTTTCAGTAGTAGAGGGTAATTTAAAATTGCGTGGACAGTCCCTTTACAGATTTGCATATCCTGCCTGCTGCAGAAACAATGAAAGAAATTGTCGGATTAAATAACTTTTGAAAAGTCATAAAAACGATTATAAATTAGATAATGGGTGAGATAAAGGTTTAAGTGGTCTGTAGTGGTTCAATAGGACTAGAATAAACATTTTGTAAAGGTATGGAGGGGCACTGTGAATTGAGCTTAAAGTCACTTTAATTGTTTGCATCTTCTCATTTTGGTGTAGAAATAAAATTTGTTAATTATACAACCATAGATAAAGATAGATTGCGCATAAGACGACATTTTTCATCTTGAACGATATAAAAGTACAGAGATGTTTAAAGATATTCCTATTATATAGATTAACTAGGTCGGTTGTGAACATTGGCTGTTCTTATGTCATTGAGTACTTGTGGTGTACATGAGTTCTGTAGAGAGAAATTTAAGTTAGTTTAGTCCTTCTCATGTCCTTCTTCAGTTCTCGTCAATATGATATATTGCTCAGTGAAATATTGTTGTTAAAATAGTTCCATTCCCGGAGTTATTTTACACTCTATTATGAAATCCATTAAAACACCAAACCACCCCGCTTATCATTGAAGTACACTTTTACCCTTAGAAGTATGAGTTCGCGGACTGTACAATTCTTGGTGATTTTACGTACATAAGTTATCTATGTTTATTTATTTATCTATGATTATACACTGTACAGTGTACAACGTATATTCTTTGACAATTATGTTTTTATCAAGTTCACAGTTCCAACCTGGAACAGTTCCAACCTGGAACAAAATTATGAACACTTTTCTCTACATTTACAATTTTCACTTGAGAGAAAACTAATTCTTATAAGATCTTTAATTAGTCAGCCAGCATTTAAAAAAAAATTATCATTGAGACATAACTTATTTCCTATTTATTCTCTATTTTACACACCAATTTGAGAAAAAGAAATTTTAACTTAAAGCTAACTTTTCCTTTAAAAACTTAAAAATTCTACATGTTTACATATCCTTTCCGTGAAAGAGCAGTTTTAGATCCATTTAACTAGCTGTTATTTGTGCATTTTTGGCAACTTTTTATAGATCATTCTCACTTTCTGATATAAAGAATACTACAGTAAATCAAAAATACACTTGCTCAAGTTTATCAGTAAATCTAAATTATTAGATCTCGTGTATTTCAACATTGATTAAAAATAAATTTTGATATTTTCCAAGTTCCAATCTTCTGGATCCCCTCCTCCAACTATTTTAAAGTGGTAAAGATGCAACCACAGAAAACTAATACTAAAATAATTAAGGCCTCTAGCCCGTTCTAAAAACAGCGCTCAGTCCCTAGCCGCCTGTTCTAGAATAAAGAGACACAGCCCAAGGTATCTAGCCTGTTCTAGACACAACGCTAAGCCTTAGCCTGTTCTGTCCAGCGCTAAGCCTTAGCCTGTACTAGACCAGCGCTAAACCTTAGCCTATTCTAGACCAGCGCTAAGCCTTAGCCTGTACTAGACCAGCGCTAGGTCCCTAGCCTGTTCTAGACCAGCGCTAGGCCCCTTGCCTGTTTTAGACCGGCGCTAGGCCCCTTGCCTGTTCTATACACAGCGCTCAGCCCCTAGCCCGCTCTTCTAATAGGACTTGACCACTAGCCTGTTCTAGACACAGCGCTCGGCCACTAGTCTGTTCCAGAAACATCACTCGGCTTCTAGCCTGTTCTAGACACATCACTCGGCTTCTAGCCAGTTCTAGACATAGTGCTTGGTCTCTAGCCTGTTCTAGACACAGAGCTCGGCCCCCAGCCTGTTCTTGACATAGAGCTGGTTCTCTAGCCTGTTCTAGACACAATATCGGCCCCCAGCCTGTTCTAGACACAATGCTCGGCCCCTAGACTGTTCTAGACATAGTGCTTGGTCTCTAGCCACAATGCTCGGCCCCTAGCCTGTTCTGGGCAAAGCCTTCGTTCCGGAGATTATCTCAACTAACAAATTACTCTGAGTAAAGGTTCACAGAAAAACTAAATATAGATTAGAGATTGTATTTGTAACAATCTGGGTTCTAGAATTCCGGAACTTGGATTTTTGTCAAAAAAAACAAAAAGGATAAAATGGCCGAAAAAAAGTCTGAAAACGGTTGCTCAAAATTTAGAGATATAATTTGTAAAAAATATTCATACATTTTATCATATTGATAGTTTTATGTACGAGATATCAAATATTTATCAGATGTCTATTCAATGTTATACGTGTTGTACAGTGGGATCCAGACAACAGTGGAATAGGGAGACGACTGTTAGGGTTTGAATAATTCATTAAACATCAAAAACAGTAACTGTGCAGTGTACACAGACCAATTTGACTTGATTATTTTATTCTCAAGCTATTGGTTGCCCTATAACAACATCAATGACAGACACGATTTATTTAATGTTGTTTATCTATTCTACAGTTTCATGAGGCCTGATGTACTTAACCCAAGAAACCAGTATTTTTATCCTTGTCATTTTAAAAGTATTATTACGTTTCAAACGATGAAGCACAATCTTATAAACATTTCTTATAATTATAATATTTGTGTAATTATAATGTATTTAAATTTAAAATAAAAAAACTTTTCGTGAATCTATTTTTCGTGAGGTTTTAGTAAAATCACCACTTTAACAAACTATTAAACAAAGCACAGCGTTGAAAACTCAAGGAGAAATCCAAATCATATCTTAAATATTTTACTAAACTGTTTTAAAGATTTTTTAACTTTTTTAAACTTTACATGATTTCTGCAATTGGACATATACAAAGTTACCCACTTAAAGGATGAGACTGTAAAGACGACCTGAAACTCGTAAAATAGGACAGGTTCAAGGTTAAATTAAGTCTTTGAATTTAGTCTTTAAACATGGCTTATTCAATGATTTGGCAAAACAGAAACAAGTTTAAAGTTGTAAAGAACGGTACAGTCGTCTCTGAAGTCTTATCTTTTGTGAATAACCCTGTAAATGACCGGGAAAATATTTCTTAAATTCACAACATTTCTGTGAATTTTTTTTCATGCTAATACTGTATAATTATTTCTTAATAAGTTCCGACTATTCTGATTCTCATGGGACACCTTTGTGGGGTGAGATTTGGTTAATTGTTTTAGTTATTCCTCCTTTCAACAAAGATCTTTTCAATCCCTAACTAGGTAGGATAGTTGGGAACTGGATATCAAGATTAATCAATCAATCATGCAGTCAGGGGTTGATGGGAAATTTGATCAGAAGAGGAATAGATAAAATGAAAATACAGGAAAGGTTTAGTTGTTTATACGAATACTTTAAGTCGTCTCTCAACTTTCATGTTTCGTGGGACACACTGTATTTGAGGTGGGTAGGTTTTTGTTGGATCCCCTTCACTTAACAATCAATAGTTTGTTTATACAATTATACGTTAAAACATTTTAAGTAAAAATGCGTGTTTAAATATCAAAAGAAAATTTTTATATTAAAAGATTTGAGCTCTTTGACAATTTTTGCACAAAATATCTTGAAATTTACATTTTAATTTTATTTTATGTAAGTTTAAAATTCAATAAAATTTTTTTATCAAAATGATCAAATGTTACATTCAACCCTGTTTTTTCCCGTTAAATTTAGATTCATTTAAGTAATACTATCATTTTTTTCGGACTATGCGTTTTAAATATTAGATATGTATGTATTGTTTAATATGATATTATCATAAAAAAGAAACATTTTATTCGTTTATTCGTTTCTTAGCTTATGAGGTTAAACGATATAATTATGATAAGTAAGAAAACGGTCGAGTTATGTGTACATGTGTCGAGATAAAAAAAAACTTTCAACGTGGAGATGATAAAAAATCATAATTTGATATTTTAAACTATAAATTCTGCTAAAAGTTTGAAAAAGTTTGCACCATCAGGTTTTAAAAATTCAACAATTTTTTTCATGAATGAGATAATTATTTTGTAACAAATTATGTGATAATTAATGAAGTTTACCAATTAATTAATGAAGTTTCATTTTTGAAAAAGAGGCAATGTTTGCTAAAATAACGAATAACGATGTATCTTAAATTAAAAAAATTGCTGATTTTTCATTTATTTTTTATCCTGTTAAAGGAACTGCATAGCGTTATAATCTTATGTGACCCTATATCTGAAAAATAATGTAGAAAAATATTTTTCAAGGTTAAAGAGTGTTCTATTTCTTGGGTAAATCATCATAATAGAGAAACCAGGATTGAAGATCCATGCAAATATGAATATCTCATTTATTCTTGATCATATCAAGCTTTCAACAGTACCGTTATAAATCGGAGTAACAGTGATAACCAGAAAACTCTGAAATAAGAAGACGACTTTCAGACCCAAATTATCTCTTTGAATATTCCAATAAACATGGGACACAGAAATTGGTAAGTATAAACAGACCCATTTTACTTTATCAGTGATTTAATAAGTGTCTAGTTAAACTATTTGTTTTGTAACAACACCAAATACACTCTAGTATGGCTGAAAGTCGTCTTATTATTTCGGAATTTTCTGGCCATTACTGTATATTCCACATTTTAAATGGAGGGTCACTTTGAATAACGTCTACATTCCCTTTATGCTCCTGTTCCATTACGATATTAAAATATGACTTTTACTTACAATATTTCAAAATGGTTTAATTCAATCAGATGATAACTTTTTTCATAAAAGAAGGGTATATATAGGTTTTTACAAAAATTAAATGATTTATTTTTTATTTTTTTCATTCATAGAATGTACTTCTTTAACCTTCTTGTTTTCACACTTGAGTTCTACTATTCTAAACAAAAATAAGCATTAACAAAACTTATTATGTAATATCACTTTGCTCTACCTGTTTCTACAACTGGAGAGCAGGGATTGAAACATCTGAAGGAGTTCTAACATCGAGCTTTTCAACGAGATTACTCTGGGCAGTGTCAGGGCTGGAAACGTAGTGGATTACATCAGGTTTTTCTCCAGCCTTGAAGATCTGGGTTCCTTCCCTCTCTCTAGATAGATCAGAAAATATCGTTATATTTGGTATATGTAAAATATGCTACAAAATTTAGTTAGGCTTTTGTGCTCATTTCTCTGAATTTAAACAATAAAAGATTTGTTTTTTAATTTTCTGTTACAGTTGTGTTTGTAATTAAAGAATTTTCGATCTAAGATACGGGTTTAATTTAATTTATTTAGAGATGGGCGCCGTTGCCGCGGAATAGTCTGTTGCGTAGAGTCTATTACCATTTTTAACGATAACCAAAAATTAACGCCACACCGACTTTGTCTGTTTTCCCTGTTAAATTGGTTCTAACGAGTTCCCCCAGTCAAAATTTGAGGCAAATCGGTTAATGGGTTCGAGAGTTATGATCCGATATACAAACAAACAGAGAACTTTAACACCTTCCGAGTCCAAATTTTTCATATTTTCATCAAAGAAAAGTGATGAAAAATTAAATTTAATTGGGATTTTTGTGAAGCCTCCTAGAACCCCAAAATCCTAGAATATCTAAAAATCGAATGATAACGATTTCCAACTCTATCTATCTTCTAATAAAAATCTATTTCCAACTCTATCTATCTTCTAATAAAAATCTGATTTCCAACTCTATCTATCTTCTAATAAAAATCTAATGAGAAATATTTTATTTCTCAGGAATCGTGCAAGAATGTTCTTTCATGGAATATAAAAAAATTCCTTTATGGAATATAAAAAAAAATTCAAATGTTTTTTCTTTTATAAGATTTGAGAAAAAAAATTAAAAAAAGGAAAAACTTGTAAACCCCCGCCCCCCCCCTCACAAAAAAATCTTTTTAAAAAACACTTCCGGGGGGGGGGGTTGCGTTTAGGGGGTGAGGTAAACTTTTATTTCTATTTTATTTCTTGTGTAAGTTAAGACTTCAGAGCATGAAATTTTGAGGAAAATTTTAAAGTTACAAACTGTAAATAAAACCTGTTGCTAAGTAAACACGTCACGTCTTGAAGCAAAATTGAATTGAAACTTCTTCAAAAAAAAAGAAAAACAGAGTGGAAAATGTATACCACTATTGACTGGTATAGTAAAGGGCGTCCTACTTTATACTAAATTATCTCCAGGCTTTAACGCACATACGCGTGTTCTCTCTGTCTGTTTGTTTGTGCCCAATAAACGTCAAAAATGCAAAGTTAATCGGGTCCAAATTGTTTATGGTAACTCACATGACCCCATGGAAGGTTATAAATGATCAATTTTGCCCTGAAAAAAATGTCGACGATTATCACTCTCTATCCCTTGAATTTCACAGAAAGAAGACTCCCACAAAAACACCTCTGCCCGTTTCAATTTACATAAAGTAATCTCGCAGAAACCCTTGGACCGATTTGTCTCAAATTTTGATTGGTGCGCTCGGCAGAGCCGTGAGAATGTATTTAGAATGGTTTTGAGATGTTAAACTGAGTGAGTCAACTTAAAAAGGGAAAAATAGCTAAAATCGTAATTTACGACCACGCTCTGGTGAACAGCGGGAGTATGTAACTATGAGTACAGAGTAGTGTACCATGTACCATGTACTGATGTAGTGAGTACCATGCAGCTCGGGCAACGCTGGGTTCTCATTCAAGCTAGTACCTAATAACTTCATGAAGTTGAAACTTCTGGAAGCCAGGAATCTGTTCTGCTTTTAAATATGCAATCTTCGGTAGATGAGTAGGCTTCTTTGGGACCTTACTCTTCTGCAGGGTGTTGTTACGGTTCAACCTAGGATAGAAGTCAATCAGAACGGTGGCATTCATAAAAACGTGAAATATAGCTAGAACCATAAGACTTTTAGGCTCAAGTTATGGTTTTAAATAGTTCAATGAACAGGATTTAATGCGATTGTGTAGTGTACACAAATCAATTTTGATGAGTTGATTTTGGAGCTTCTGGTAAATCTATTTGCTTATGTTTAACTTCCACATTGTTATTTATATCAATTTGGAAAGACGATATTTAAACAAAATCATGAGTATTCGATTAAGCAATCTCATGTGTATTTAATGATGTTATAATTTATGAATTCGTGGATTTTCTTAGTAATGATTTTTGCGTAATATTATTTTTTAATCGCAAATAGTTACACTGGTAACTTGAAATTGAACTTTTTCTGTGAAACTGGTCTGTGTACAAAATTAAAATCCCAGTTTTATGCTTCTCTCTGTATATCTCACACACCTCCCCGGAAGCGATTTTGACCTCGTTGTTACGACCATTTTTCTAATTAGTATATGTACGCGTATGAAACCGAAAGAAAAACTAGTTAGAGAAGACGATGAAATCAAACTCGGTCCCATTCTGAATTGCGGCGTAAAATACCGCTGGCGCGCAAGTTCAAAACTTTGAGTTTAAACAAAACAGTGAAGTGGTTGGAACTACTTAATTTTAAATATTTCTTGGTGCATATGAAACGATTCTTGACATAAAGTTATATTGAAATAGTAAACATTCAATGTTCGTTTTTGTGTAATGATGGTATTTTTAGTGGATTGACTTTTTAAATTAAAATTCGAGAACAAAGGGAAAATCTCGACATCGATAATATAAAATTGTATCTTTAATAAATCATCATAGTTGACAGTTTCTTTGGGTCACTAAAAATACCGGTTTTGGCTCTAAAAAATAATTTATATNNNAAAAAAATTCTGTCTTGTATTTTTTCTACATTGTTTGGTATGAATTGGAAAAATTTAAATATTTCGAATTTCTGATCTTATGAGGAGTAGATGAAAAAAATATCTTTTTCCTCAATTTCTTTGATTCAGTGAAATGGAAACCAACAGAAATGTATAGTGGGTTATTTGCTTGATATTCACATAAGCTGGTATCGTGCTAAAATATCCTGGACTTTTATGAAGTCAAAAATCCAGCATTAATTGGTAACTCAAGGCATAAATTTTTATCAATTTTTTTTTCTTTTCCTTCAAAACTGTAAAATGGGGTTTCAAAAACACAATATAAACAAAAATAGATTCAAGAAGATTTTTTTCTAATTCGTATGCTTCCTCAAAATTTTCTTAATTTAGATCCAATGGTATTTTGGCCGTAAAATCCAATGGGCCCGATGAAATATTTTGATAAAAACAGATTTGTATTCCCATGCGTTTCATTCAACTTATAAAATAAATTTTAGAGGTGGTCGTAACAACGAGGTCAAAATCGCTTCCGGGGAGGTGTGCTCAATACATTTTAACAAAGAAAGGTTTTAAACTGCATTTTTTAATATTTCGGCAATGCACTTTAATACATAAAATGAAAAGCGTGAATTTTTCTTTTTTAAGCCCTTACACAATTGTTGCAGTAAAAAAATATCAATGGAAAATCAACCAAAGGAGATCCAATTAAAATCTTTTTAATTCAACTAAAGTCCTTTTTATTCCACTGTACCTTTTTACTCTTAAAAATTATTTTGAGCATGATTTAAAATTTCAACGCAGATCTTATGCCTTTTTTAATCTTCAAAATGAGACTAAAATCGAAAAGAAAATTCTAATATCAACAGAAAAAAAAACATGTTGTATTATATATGACAATATGAGCAGAAAAAGTGCAATATCAAGAAAGTATTGTAAAAGCTGAGAGGAAAGTAAACAGTAATATTCTCATATAAATATATTTGATTGACATGATTGCTTCCAGTTAAAAATATTAACATGGCTGAAAGTACATTACATAAAAATAATCGAGTCATGAACTGTATAGATTATGAAGACGACAGTTAAACAATCTTGTGTGTATTTAATGCTGTAGATTTTTTAATCAACTTTATGGGTCTATTTACACTGCACAACTGATGGGTTTCATGTTCCTTAAACATTTTAAAACCCTGATGACTAAAAGTCGTCTTCCTGTTCTGCAGTTTTATGGTTCTTACTGTGGGACCCACAAAACAAGTTGTAAGCTAAATATTATTTTTTTTTTTTAAATCAAAAATATTTTATTTCATTTTTCGCGGATACTCCCTATAAGATCAAAGTTTGAATTCTATAAATGAAGGGTTATAACGTATAACTAAAATCAAAGACAAATATGGTGTTGGGTGCAACCGTGCAAATAAATACGAGAAATACTATAAAATAAAATGGAATTTTAAATTAACTTCTATGGATTCAATGAGTATTTAGAGAACAATAAAAACATTTTCTCAAAAATCTGTGAAATGTTCTTACATTTTTCCTTCAAATATTTATTAAAAAGGGACTGTTCTTGTAATTTAAAGTGACTTTCCATTTAAAAAGGGGGCATCCACGAATGACAACAGCCTAACCTTTAAACCTGAATCGGATCAATAATGTGGATGATATCGAAATAGGCTTTTTCCAGTGCATGCTTAAAGGGACTGTATAGGAAAAATGAAAGGGGGTATAGGATGAAACCTAATCATTTAAGGAGTTGATCGAGACTATGGTTTGCTCCTATTGTTATTTGAACCCGGTGAGAATTAAAGGGAGTGTTCGCGAAAAATGAAAGGGGGTATAGGCTTAATGCAATAAAAAAGCGCTTTTGATCGCTAAGTTATTCGGTATCAGACGTCTTTAACAAGTTTATTCTTAAAGACGCAACAGATAGAAGTAAGATTAGTAGCGATCAAAAGCGCTTTTTTATCGCATTAAGCCTATACCCCCTTTCATTTTTCGCGAACACTCCCTTTAAAGTGAATGTTTATTGTTTACTTTTGAGAGTATCTGTCTAATCCTACCATGAAAACATTTTCTTTGATTCGAATTTTTATCGACTTTTATCTAACTAAAAAGAAAAATAAGTTGACTATGATACAATCGTTGTCAATTCTTTTACACCAAAAGATCCATGTCAATTCCTCAGTAATCAATAATCAAAGACGGATATAAATAAAATAAGAACACAGTGCACACTGAACCAACTACAGAGAGAAGTATCCTGCTTCTTTTATTTGAAATCAAAAGTGTTTTCGTCTATATTTCAACAATCTTTAAACTTACGGATTTGTTGTTTATTTTATACTTTTTCATTCAAAATGTATATGCCGACAAAAAGTTATTTAAAAAAAAGGCGATAAAGTTATGTATAAGGGGTCAAATTATGATCGGAAGTCACAGCTTTCTGAAATATTGACAGAACCGTTAAATCCATGCGTGAGTGAAGTGAACCAAAAATTGCAAGCTCTCACGCTAAAGCTGATGAGAAGTTTGCCATCTAGTTACTGATAACTAAAAGTAAGTACTTTATAGTTCTAAAATCACCCTATCTAAGCTACAACAGTTTTGTGAGGTACAGAGGAAAAATAAAAGGACAAGGCGTTGCGACACTTTAAAGTTGACCCAGTCTTAAAAATTGGAGGTAGCCAAAAGGTCATAACTTTATTATTATTTCCTAGGGATCAAACGGTATATTTTTGCTGTCGAAGAGATTAAATTAATTCCCCTTGGAATTTAGAAATCAAGAAAATATCTCACTCTCACATAAAAGTTGTCACAGTTGATCAAAAAGTTCAGAGAAATGTTTTTATCTCTGTTTTTGAAAGTTATAAACTAAGAGTTGAAAACATCTAAAAGCAGATCGAGCAAGTTTAACAAAATAATTTGAAACCTTGCAACCTTTTAATTAATGAAAATAGAAAATCCGCGAAATTTTAGTTTAATGTTAAATTTTAGTAGAATAATGGAAAATGGCGGCATCCATGCAATTTGAGTGCAAACCATGAGGGAGAGAGAAAGCACCGACCCTATTTAAACTATTTGAAACTATAACCTGGTGGGCTGAGAACGTCTTAGAGCAGGTTTCCCACGGAGGAGATGGGAGGACGGAAGACGATAAAATAAGGACTGGAAGCGAGAAGGACGAACAAGGGAAGGTTTATGCTGTTTGGATATTGATTGACTGCGAGAATGAGGTTTCGGAGCTTGGATAGGACTATTATCATGTTGATGATGATTTTTATGATGATGATGATGTTGAGAATTATCTCCTAGACAAACCTCCAAAAGGAAAACTAGCGAAACCTGAAAATAATAACGTTTAAAAACAAAAATAATATTTCATTCCAAGACGGATACCGCATTTACAATATTTTTCATATATATTCTGTAAATTTCTTTTTCGAAATTAAAGGGTAAAAAATTACAACTTCATATTCAGAATTTTTTTCTAATCCTCTGTTTCTGCAACCTTGTGGTTTAGATAACCCGTTTTTAATTTAAACTTAATCAAGCATATTTCATAGTTTGAAATATCAAGTTTATTGCAAAGATAAAAAGGTAAAAAATTAATGTATTATTAAAGTAATCAATTTCTTTCCTGGTTTCCATTTATCGTATCTAATTCACTGCTAACTAAATAGTAGGAGAAGGTTTGTATGTAACACTATAGGTATGACTTTGTGACCTTGTAGCCCATCTAGTTTAGATTTATACGCGCAAGAAGCACGGAAATTATCCGGTTTCATATTAGAGATTCAAAACATTATCAATAGGTTTTCAATTAGGAAAGGTTTGAATCAAAGCATATTAAATTCCAATTTTGCGTGCAAATTCGATTATTAATTGTATTTTAAAAAAGGTAGCGTTGAAAATTTCGTTAATAAATAAACTGATTTAAAAAATGTATTTTGTTTAGTTTTTTTTACTTTTACTTTGTATTTTATTTTAAACATTGCACTTTCACTTTGTGACAAGAGTTATAAAAGAATGCAATTGAAAACTTTGACATAAAGTATATTTTTCAGAGATCCGGAGATTGAAGTTGCATTTTGAAAAAACATATTTCCTATTAAAAGGATTGTTCACCATTTTTAAAATGTTACCCAAATTTGCATTATTAATATCAAGCAAAAACATTACGCCAGATTCAAAGTTACGAAAAAAACTGCGAAATTCAGCACAAAACTATTGTGAACTTGACATAGAATTTGAACAGTACTATGTGTAACTTGAAGTGAACAATTCTCTTAAATATATTATTTTTAACTTTATCAATTTATTTATTTTTAATTTTTTATGAAACAAATTATTTGACACATGTATTTAATGCAGAATGCAGATTATAGTTTTTCCAATCTTCTTGTTTCCTGGCTGTCCTGCTTTGCATATTCAATTAGCTGCATTGTTACATGGGTAATATTATCAAACATTACATGGTTAATATTATCAAACATTACATGGTTAATATTATCAAACATTACATGGTTAATATTATCAAACATTACATGTTTATTCGAATAAAATTTTGATTTAAATCAAGCTTTTAAGCAGCATGGATACACATAAACATAAAAGTGAAAACCAAAAAAATCGTCTTCATTGTATTGATAAAATCACCTACCACTGTAGAATATTTTTTAATTGTTTAGTGTATAATTGATAAATATTTGGTTTTTAACTCCCAACTAATTTGTTTTTATATAGAGAAAACTTCTTAAGAAAATAAGACTATTAATGAAAAGAAATTCTAGTAAAACTTTTTTTTTTTGAATTAACTTTTCTGTGCAGTGCATGATGAGCTTTTTTTCTAACTTTCAGAGAAAATTAGAAAATAATGGATGTTATTGAACTTTAAACTAAATATTACTGATTTAATTAAATTTAAAAAATTATGGATGTTATTAAACGTTAATTTGGTAATGGATGTTATAAAACTTTAAATAAAAAACAATGGATGTTACAAAATTTAATCCAAATATTATGAATGTCAATCTAAAATAATGGATGGCAATAAACTTTTAACAAAATACAATGGATGTTATAAACTTGCAAAGGAAAGATATAGATGTTATTAAACTTGCAAACAAAAGATATGGATGTTATTAAACTTGTTAAAAAAAAGATATAAATGTTATTAAACTTGTAAACAAAAGATATGGATGTTATAAACTTGCAAAGAAAAGATATGGATGTTATTAAACTTGCAAACAAAAGATATGGATGTTATTAAACTTGGAAACAAAAGATGTGGATGTTATTAAACTTGCAAACAAAAGATATGGATATTATTAAACTTGCAAAGAAAAGATATGGATGTTATCAAACTTATAAACAAAATATATGGATTTTATTAAACTTGCTAACAAAAGGCATTGATGTTATTAAACTTGTAAGCAAAGATACAGATGTTAGTAAACTTGTAAACAAAAGATATGGATGTTATTAAACTTGTAAACAAAAGATATGGATGTTATTAAACTTGTAAGCAAAAGAAATGGATGTTATTAAACGTTCAAACAAAAGACATTGATGTTATTAAACTTGTAAACAAAAGATAGGGATGTTATTAAACTTGCAAAGAAAAGATATGGATGTTATAAAACTTGCAAGCAAAAGATATGGATGTTATTAAACTTGTAAACAAAAGATATGAATGTTATTAAACTTGTAAACAAAAGATACAGATGTTATTAAACTTGCAAACAAAAGACTTTGATGTTATTAAACTTGCAAACAAAAGATATGGATGTTATTAAAATTTAAACCAAAAATAGGGAGATGTCAGATTCATAACGGTACCCTCTAAACCTTTATCGCTGATCTATAATTTCTAGCTTGTAAAGTGTAAAGTAAATTCTTTCAACTTCCTTTATTCTTTCTCCCAAAGTTGTGCTTTCTACTTTACGGTATAAGTAAAAACTTTATGGCATTGTAAAATTTGGTGTTAGGTTAGATCCGCAGCGCAACTTCCCCAGTCACAACTTCCCCGAGACATCTTCCCCAACAGCAATTTCCCCAACAACCAATTTCCTCAACAACAATTACCCCAATTACTAATTTCCCCAACAACAATTTCCCCAATCACTAATTTCCCCAACAACTTTCCCTACACCAATTTCCCCTTGCAGTAAAACAGCAACTTTCCCAACAACTATTTCCCCATGTCCCCATGCAGTAAAATATCAAATATTTCCGTTTTAACATAATTCCAATGAACAAATGCGCAATTTTAAAATAAAAAATTCGCAACTTTTTGAATGTGAAAAAATCAGTTCCTTTGGATTAGAGTCGACAATGTTGGCAGTTTATACATTGTCCTCCACTGTCCTCGAAGAAGAGAAATGTTCTGGTGGATCCCAATAAGTATGAGTACAACCTACAATCCATTTCAAGGGACAAATCAAAATAATTCTTGAACTGTCTGGAGAAAAGAAAACATTCAAAATGTGTAGCAACAGCCGATGTGAAGGAGTCTGATAACATTATCATATCACTTTCTAACATTTACTGCATTGGGAAAATTGTTGTTGGGGAAATTAAGAATTTTACTGCATGGGGAAATTGGTGTTGGGGAAGTTGCTGTTGGGAAAATTAGTGACTGGGGAAGTTAGTGTCGGGGAAATTAGCGGCTGGGGAAATTGCTGTTGGGGAAGTTGTGACTGGGGAAATCGTGTTGGGGAAGCTGTGCTTGGAAAATGACCTAACACCTAAAATTTTATACTTGGAAATAATTTGTTTTCAAAGAGTAGATGATGAATATCACCAACACTCTATATTACACTACGCTTTTAACGTATGGTGAATGGTAACTAAAGACAGTAAAATTGATTGAACGTCACACTGTAAAGAAAGTGTTTACAGAGAGAGAACCTAATCAATATAAAGACAAACATAATGACAAAAAGTATAAAGAAATCACATAACAACACTCCTTAGATAACTTAAAATGCACAGTGTACAGTACAGTTTACTAGTAGTGTAAAGTGTACAGTTTACTAGAAGTGTACAATATGCAGTTTACTAGAAGTGTACGGTGTACAGTTTACTGAAAGTTTACAATACACAGTTTTATGAAAGATAATCCCACTTTGAAGCGGTACACAGTACACTGTGCTGTTGTTTGCACCAAATTTTCAGTTAGAAAAATACTAATATCTCCGATTTATATGATCAGACAATTGTGAAAAGGGTACCAGTGTGTATCAGACATGTCACTTTATAAATCAAGGGTAACTTGAAGTTATGTACAGTTCCTTTAAGATAATTATTTTGTAATACAAACAGAATATTAAATAAAAACAGTGGTAAGTTAACAATCTCCATAACTTTATTAGCAGTACCAAACTTTATGCTATACAAATTGCAATAGTTCACAGTTTTGGGTTAGGCATACGAAGAGAACTAAATAAATTAAGTTAAGTTAAGTTTCGGACCGCCATGTTTTTCTTGTGATTAAAAAATACTTTTGCGGATTTTTTCTATCCAAGTAACAAAATGAAAGGGATACCTAAAAGTTTTCTTCTATTATAAGATTATCTATTATTTTGATTTCAAGTATTTAAAGTTATTTACCAATATTAATCTGTTCATATTTATTGTTTAGCGTGCTCACTGCATCAAGTTCCTGAATAAACTGACGCAAATTGTACCAGGATAAACTGACGCAAATTGTTTACATTTCTTATGTGCGTAAATCGCCGAACGTGCCAAGCATGACGATCGAGTTTCTTGAGTAGTGGGGGTTGTTGCTTGACCATGGGGAAGGTTGTTGCTAGCCCTGGAGAAACATATCAACGCGCGTCTCACGGAAGAATGCTGCGCCAGAATCCGGAAACTGAAGAAATGCGCGGTATTATAGTCTGGGTCGGAGATTGAAATTCTCTGATGATATTGTTTCCAAGGCGTTTAGTGCAGACCACCGGTGTAACGTGAGAAAATATCTGCGGAATAAACATGTCGTGATTATACTACGTCTACATGTTACAGTTTATGACATTAAATTTCATAATAAATTGTGTATTTACATAGAAGTTTTAATTTTAACAGGAAAACAGAATTTATTTTTATGCATTTCTTTCATTAAAAACTTATTACACAATTTATTTTTAGGTTCAGCATATGTTAACGTGACACCGGGCATTTACGAAACTAAGTATTTAACGTGACACATGGGCGTATACGGAACCAAGAATTTAACAATGAAATCTCGAGGATACAATATTATTTAATACCGGAAATGTATTGGTCGCGCTGTAATCATGAAATAATTAACATTTTTTATAATTTTTGTTAACAAACATATATTAACTAATGTTTGCTTTATATACATTTTCACAGCATAGGCAATTTTAGCTATAGATTTACAATTTTAGCTTTCAAATGATTATTTTCAAGGCGCTATCTTCTTATCGTTTTCCGATGAAAACAAACGTTTTCACGGATTTTCCTGTATATATATAAATGGATTTTTTAAATGGAAAAAATTGACATTTTTTTGGACAAGACATCATGAACATTAAATAAAAATTAATTGATCTCCACTCGTCTGACGTATTTGTATCGATCTGACCTGTCACCTATAAAGTAAACTATAAACCTAAGATTTTATCGATCTAAAATGATAAGAGCTGAAAATAGGTTAGACTGGGTATGTGGAGATGAATTGGGGTTAGACGTGGATGGGAAGTGAAAACTACCCGATAATTGGATCGGATACCTAGTCGGTTTCCTCTAGGCCAGTTTCCATGTAGCCTTTAATTTTCATTTGTTCTTCTCAATAGCACTTCTAGGAGGAGTTATAATTATTAAAAACATATAAAATATCAATCTTACGTTCAATATATACTTTAGTTTAACGTGCAATATATACTTTAGTTTAACGTGCAATATATACTTTAGTTTAACGTGCAATACATACTTTAGTTTAACGTGCAATATATACTTAAGTTTAACGTGCAATATATACTTTGGTTAACATGCAATATATACTTTAGTCTAACGTGCACTATATACTTTAGTTTAACGTGCAATATATACTTTAGTTTAACGTGCAATATATACTTTAGTTTAACGTGCAATATATACTTTAGTTTAACGTGTTATATATACTTTAGTTTAACCTGCAATACATACTTTAATTTAACGTGCAATATATAATTTAGTTTAACGTGCAATACATACTTTAGTTTAACGTGCAATATATACTTTAGTTTAACGTGTAATATTACTTTAGTTAACGTGCAATATATACTTTAATTTAACTTGCAATATACACTTTAGTTTAACGTCCAAATATACTTTAGGTTAACGTGCAATATTACTTATTTTAACTTGCAATATTACTTTAGTTTAGCGTGCAATATATACTTTAGTTTAACGTGAAATATAAATCAAGAAAGAAAACTGCATTGAAATTAAGAATGGTTTATTACGTATTGTTATTTGTTAAGGTTGAAGGCAATGCATAATATTGGAGTATAAACTACATCTGTTAATTTGTAACCTGTATAACAATGTAAAACTATAAATTTTATGAGTTTAAAAAAGTTTTAGAAGGATATAGAAATTAAAACTAACTAGACGTTTGATGTTTATTTAATTTTATACAAACAAATTTACATTGATCATTTTTAAAGATGGATGCAAAAATGATATTACTATTTACGTATACTGAGTTTTAACTGTCTGGACAAAATATTAACACTGAGGCAATTAACGTTTCTGCAAACTTTAAATATTTGGATTTTATGATACACACAGGAACATATTTACTACATTTTATGTGTGTATTTCTTGATGTACAAACAAACAGCATCAGTTCGATCAGAAAATCTTACCCCATAGGACAAATATTTTTCAAAGAAGGTTTAATTTTGTTGGTCTGAGGGAACAGCTATTATAATAAAGAATTGTTCGAACACAGCATAAACACAATACAAGCAAGGGAAGGCACACCACACCATTTTTTTTGTCCGCACCACAAATGACGCCACAACTCACCATTATTTCTACCGACCACAGCTTTTTTCGTCTAAGCGATGCTTCTGTGTTTTCAAATGTATTTTTAATTATGCCTTTAAACACTTTTTTTCAAAATTAGGCAACGTTATGCCATTCAATTTATGGTTTAATTGTATCTTAAATGCATTTTGTTCAAAAAATTAAAAGATATTTAAGCCCAATTTAGCAAAAAAAGAAAAATATGTGTACCACACCTATATTTCGTCCGAACCACACCTATATTTTGTGCGGAAATAATGTTTTCTTATTTTACTCATAAACTGCAACTTTTAGGGGATAGTGCGCTGGGACTTTTTGGATCCTCAACTAAAAATTGACATTTTTTAGTAGGGAACATAACAATTGGTTTTAATTTGTTTTGACGGGTTGTGAAACTAAGATTTGCATGTATTGTTTTATGTACAATTTGTTCTTCTTTAAACAAAAAAGCAGAATAAAATAGTTAAAACCATGATGTGGCTCAAAATTTAAAGTGCGTAAAAAAAGATTGTAAAATAAGCCGGACGAAAAAAACGGAAGAAATAATGGTAAGTTGTGACGTAATTTGTGGTCGAACAAATTTGTGCCTTCCCTCCCTCACAATACAGTATACAGGATGATAACAAATTTAGTAAATTTTAAATGCTAATATCTCAATTTTTCAAGAGAAGATTATACCATGCAACTTATCTAAATAAAGGGGGGGGGGGTGCAAATTCGTCATTGCACCCTCCTAGTTACGACCGTGAATCCAACATCTCAAAACAAAACCCTCTAGCTTATAACTATTTCTATTAATATAAGGCTTATCGTCTCCAGATTGAATCTAGAAAGTTTCTGGATGCCTAGAATGGCCATCTTACAGTCATTCTGAGCTTTTATTCAAGCGTATCAAAATTATCATTTTAGCCTTTTTTAAACAAAAATCAACCGTAAAATTAAAAATACAAATAAAATTAAAAATAGAAATTAAAATAATCTAAAGATGACATCGGGTTTTCTATACGTTGCAGTTTCCTGTAATAAAAATAAATATAAAAATTGAATTTGAAGAACTTTAAATGAAAATATTTTTTAAAATTTTGTTAAAAAATGCAGTCCTTGCTGTAAACAATCAGCCGTCAGTATGTGTTTTAAGGTAAAGGAGCACCGGCTCCAGTTTTATGTTTCCAGACAGGACACACAATACACATCCTGTCCGGTGCTCCTTGAACACCGGACCCATGCCGAGAGGCTAATTGCTCTTATCTTTGACGTTCTCAGGTTTGGAAATAAAAATAAAAATAAAAATAAATATAATTAAAATTAAAGTTAAAAATAAGATTAAAAAGTCATCCATATTTATATAAATGATAATCGAGTCTTTGCCAGTAACTTAAATTTTCAAATCTTTTCATCTGAAAGTGCATGTAAACCTTTGATATTTCAAACTTAGATTATTTGATCTAACAGAGCTGGGAACTTTTGAATAGTGGATATCGGGATTAATGCTTGATTCACTCTTTTTCTTAATCTCCAGATTAAAGAACACTTGTTCTCCTCTTGTTATTAATCTCCAAATTAATTTGCCGATCAGGATTCAGCTCTGAATTCATAATTAAAATATCCAAGGTCTATGACATCGGGTAGAAATTGCAGAGATATAGGGATTAAAAAATCAGAATTTGTGGAAAAGATTTAATTTCTTTGGACTTTTTGTTTTGTTTTATTTTTCTAAAGAGCAAAAGTTCCAATTTTTTATTCTTTTATAAAGAATTTTTGAATAAATGATCTTTTACAGATCGCTACAGATAGCTACAGATAGCTACATAGCTACTTATTTTATTTAAACTATAAAGTGGGTGTCGACTTAGTTTTTAACCTTTAGTAAAAACAATGTGCTTGTTCTTGGTCAGCTCTTTGCTTCTTTAAAAGTGCAGGTAAAAAAAGCTTGATTTGGTATTTATATAGTTTATATAAAGGGCTACAAAAAAATAAGTAAGTAAGGTCGACCCGGTCTGTATAGTTGATGAATAGTTTTCATACAATTTAACCAAAACTTAGGACAGATAAAGGAATTGGGTCCTTGTAACAACCTCAAATATGATATTAATCTTTGAAACCTGGTGGTGTAAAACTTTGATATTTTAAACACTAGATTACTTGATCTAACATAACCCATTGTTTAAAACATCTAAGGTCAACGACAACTGTTTGCATAGATATAGGGATTAGTAAATCAGAGTTTGTGGCAAAGACTCAATTCCTTTCGCTAGCAGGGGATCATTCATTTAGCTTACAGTCCCGTTTTGTCTCATGTAGTCTGTATTTGTACTGTACTGCTTGCCCTGGCTAGTTGAAATTCGACCAGAGCCCGAAATTTAAAAGAGTATCGTTGAACGAAACCTTCGAGTTTCCTTTTTGGGGGTCTTAACATTTGTGTAGATTTTGATTTAAGAGATTCCAAAAAAATGGAGAATATGAAGAAACTAAATAACTCTTTCCCGCATATTTTATGAATATTTATTTATTTTTAGAATTAATGAGATTCAGTAATGATCTAGTATAAAACCGATTGAAAAATTGTCATGACGACATTTTATAAATTCTTTGGCTGTTGCCAAAGATCTGGGTTAAACTGTAGCTGTCATGGACCTTTCAGAAATGTACTCAATAAACCTTTAACTTATTATTTTTCTTAAACACATTTTTCTAAATCCTTTTTTTGAGTCAATTTCTATTTTGTCCTTCTTCTAGGTTTGACATTTTGCCAGGGTTAATAATACTATATAAAATATTATTTCTCAGAGTCTCTGTACATTCAAACTTTTTGCTAGTCATGCTTTTCCTTTATTTAGCTGAGAAATGTGCCTGTTTATCATCTGTCAAGGGCAAAAATTTAAACTTTACAATTTTCATATCAAAGGGTAAACCAAAGGTTAGAAGTTAAGAACATGTCGCCGTATCTCAAAACGTTGCCTTTTTTATCAATTGCAAGCTCAATCATCCTTAATTTTTACCAAGGCTTTACCATGCCTGAAAATAAATATTTAATGAAAGTGTCGATGACTGACAACCACCCTCCCCCCATCCACTACCTTCAGCTTTCTTTTTGTTACCTTTAGATAAGTTTGCATTTTTTTATAAGTAATATAGAAAGCTAAAAAGGTAACAATTTTGTTACCTTCTGTTTAGACAAAGGAATTGAGTTTTTGTCACAAACTGTGATCGATTTTAATTTCCCGATATCTTTACAACCTGATGGTGAAAGCCATTGATATTTCAAAACTAGATTATTTGATGAACGTAATTCATAGTCTGAAATATCACAGGTCTCAGAACCTGGTCGCAAAGATATAGCGCTTAGAAAATCAGTCTTTTGGGCAAATACTCAATTCCTTTGTTACAAATTATAAAAAATTTACATACACTACACACTACACTAATCAATTAATTTACATACACTTCACACTACACTGATCAATTAATTTACATACACTACACACTACACTAATCAATTAATTTACATACACTTCACACTACACTAATCAATTAATTTACATACACTACACACTACACTATAATCAATTAATTTACATACACTTCACACTACACTAATCAATTAATTTACATACACTACACACTACACTAATCAATTAATTTTTGGCAATCTGCTAAATTTTCAATATGAACTTGTTGCAAAATACACAGAACGAAATACCCCAATAATTGTAGTTTTTACTTTTCGAGGGGCTTTGCCCCAATAGCCCCCCCCCCCCCCGTTAATACATCTAAATTTTATAGCGCAGACAAGAACAGTTAAACAAGACAGAAGGAAGACTACAATCATTTCACTGTTTTTTTTTCAATTTTGCACATGGACGCCCATCTTGCGTATAATTTTGGCAAAAAATACGCGTTAAACCAACTTTTCCACTTGAATCTGATTTCGTCGTAAAATTTTTCTCAGTAAACACGTTTTATCTTAAAAATAATCTCGTTTCCTAATAGTTTTAATTTTCAGAAACTATTCAAAGTTTTATCAAATCATTGACATGTCAAAAGGTAAAAAAAGACTGGTCGGTGTGTGAAAAAAGCTCAATTTTTTCCGATAACCTTTTAAAAATAGATATATAAACATGTGTCTCACAGCTTTTAAAAATAGATATATAAACACGTGTCTCACAGCTTTTTATTTGTCAAAAACCAAAACTTTAGTTTATAGCTTTTCCAGACAGTTTTTGCATTTTTAAAAGAAAACCTTCCCAGCATGTGTTGTGCCATAAACATTAAAAATTGCAGTCTATTTTTTGAATGACTATACATGTAGGCTATAGACCCACAGTCTTTTAAGGGTTTACCAGCTAGGACGGTTCAGGGTACAAATTATTAACAACAAACGTTTTTCTCTTATTAACAACGTAGGTTTACATTTAATTTTAATAGTTCAATCTTTTTTGATAAACACTTTTCATTGATTGGCTAATCAATATTTAATAAATAAATAAGTCGTCCTTCAATTGTAATATGTTGGTGGAACAACCTGTAAATAATCCACTTAACGAATACAATTACAGTTCATTACTTCAAGTTCAAGTTGAGCCTGGAGCTTAATAACATATCAGGCATCTACAGGATGCATGTAAACAATTCATCATTATACTACGTTCCAGGATACTCGGATACAAGGGTATACCAGGATACAGGGGTATACCAGAATACAGGGGTATACCATGTTACAGGATACAGGATACATGTAAACAATTCATCATTAAAACATTCCAGGATACTAAGAAACAGGCTTATACCAGGATACAGGATACAGGTAAACAATTCATCATTAATACATTCCAGGATACTTCGATACAGGGGTAACCAGGATACAGGGATTTACCAGGATACAGGGATACAGGATACATGTAAACAATTCATCGTTAAAACATTCTAGGATACTAGGATACAGGGGTATACCAGGATACAGGGATAAACCAGGATGCAGGGATACAGGATACATGTAAAAAATGAATCATGAAAACATTCCAGGATACTAGGATACAGGGGTATACCAGGTTACAGGATACAGGACACAGGATAAATGTAAACAATTCATCATTAATATATTCCTTAATAACTAGGATACAGGGACATAACAGGATACAGTAGTATACCATGATATAGGGGTATATCACTATACAGGGACAAACCAGGATACCACGGGTATACAGGGGTATATCAAGATACAGGGTATACCAGGATACAGGAATATATCAGGATACAGGGATATACCAGTAGACAGGGATATACCAGGATACAGGGATATACCAGGATACATGAATTGACCAGGATACAGGGATATTCTAGAATACAGGGATATACCAGGACACAGGGGTATACCAGGAATCCAGGATACAGGGAAATACCAGGATACATGAATAGACCAGGATACAGGGGTATTCAAGGATACAGGGATATACCAGGACACTGGGGTATACCAGGATACAGGGTGAGGGGTACACGAGGATACAGGGAAATACCAGGAAACAGAGGTATACCAGGATACAGGAATATACCAAGATACAGGTATATACCAGAATATAAGAGTATACCAGGGTTCAGGATACAGGCAGGTGTATATCGGGTTACAGGATATATCGGTATACTTTACAGGGGTGTATTATAATTATACACATACATAGTATTTATTTTCAAACGCAAAATACAAAATATTAATGTATGATGGGTTAGCTAAAAACAAAACACAAAAGAAAATCTAATATGAGCCAATTGAAAATATAATGTTTGATAATTTTGTTCTGATCGGTATTTGTTGAAACAAACTATACATATTGAAATCTCAACTAAATATACATTCATTGTGCATTTACAAGTAGATAATTAGTCAGCACTCAAATAATCAAAACATTTTAAGGAATGCATTCATTGAACTCATAAATACATATTGATTAAAAATTAGCGATGTATTCTCATTAAGTCTTAAAGTAGACTTTGGCATCCACCATTAGCAAAGAGTGTGAACGCATTCTTGTTGACTTTAGTAGACTTTGACATCTACCAATAGCAAAGGGTGTAAAACAATTCTTATTAACTCTAGTAGACTTTGACATCCACCATTAGCAAAGGGTACGTGAACCCATTCTTGTTGACTGTTGTAGACTTTGACATCTACCAATAGCAAAGGGTGTGAACCCAAACTCGTTGACTGTAGTAGACTTTGACATCTACCATTAGCAAAGGGTGTGAACCCATTCTTGTTGACTGTAGTAGACTTTGACATCTACCAATAGCAAAGGGTGTGAACCCATTCTTGTTGACTGTAGTAGACTTTGACATCTACCAATATCAAAGGGTTTGAAACAAGTGAACAAGGTTAAAAAATTGACTATCGAGTGTCGAAATGAAAAACGTTCAGGGGGATGAACTGTTGCAGGGGCATGAAATGCTGCACTTTAAGTTGGTAGAGGAAGTTTTACGTCCTATAGCCTATAGTTTGAATTTATTATGCAGATTAAAATAGTCAATTTATTTATAGCTTAAAATTTGAAAGAAAGAATTTAAGAGATTATTCGTACAGTACTATGGGACAGGTAGGATGATAAGCACTTTTCTAGGGAATAATAATGCAGAAATCGAGAGTGAAAGAGTTAATTTGAAATGTCGTCTTCACTGATTTTAGATTCAACTGGCGGTGATGCGCTGTACTCGCTGTACACTGAAACAAAATAATAACATTGAAACTGAAATTGGATTTAGAAATCTGGAAGACTGGAGCTCGATCGGTCAACAATTTTTACTTTATTTATTAGGAGAAAAGTTAACTTTTTGGGCTCATGAGTAGTGCTCTCGATTTCAGATCTTATGTTGCTAATTAGAGTCCAAAAATCGTTCTCCAGGAAATTACCAAAATTTCGACCTGAGATCCATAATTTATTAAATTTTTTTTAAAAAAGCAACACAAAATTTTAAAGTAAGCACCTAAACTAATTTAAGAAAATTCGCGATTCACTAAAATTGCTAAAGTTTGAACCATCTTTTGGTAATTTCCTAGAGAACGATTTTTGGACCCCCCCAGGCCCACCCNTTTGTACATGGATATAATTGATCATTTGGCCGCGGCGCTCGGTTTCCTAGTCTGTCTGATAAAAAAAACATTTTTGCTGAAAAATAAGTGGTCATGTACAAAATTGATAGGAGTCGGGGAGGGGGCTCGGGGGGGGGGTCCAAAAATCGTTCTCTAGGACGGACCCCATCTTTTTTCTCTAATTTGAATGATTTCAAATAATAACATGTTCCAGAGAAAATGGAGGAAAATATAAAAGTTGAAGTTGATATGGATTATTTTCCAATAAAAGAAGAGATGAATGAAGATAAGGATGATATTCTTCCATTCTCTAGTATACAAGATACAAGCAATGGAGAAGAACAAGATATAAACCCCAAGATGGAAATTAAAGGTATTTTTCACTTACAGTTTAATCATCTTCATCATTTTAATTTTCATTCATGTCGAAATAGTTTTGACATGAATATACATATACATATGAAATTATGTAGATTTTGAGGCGACTTATGATATTTTCCAGGGGGGGGGGGTAAGATGTTCAGGAGAGTAGAGAGGGAAATGTGGATTGTGGAGCCCCCCCCCCTTCAGAATTTTTCCTGGAAGTTGAGTTAGTTAAGCATTAAACCAAATTTAAAGTGATTAAGTGGCTCAGCAGGATTTTTTTTTATCCCTTCTTAATAATCAAACTTAAAGGGCTAGATGGTGCCTTCTCTCTCTAGTTTTTCTCAAAATAATTAATACAGTAATATCAAGCTCTTGAACATCTGGGATCAATTCGTACTGCAAAGGAAAACAAAATCATGATGTATGAATATTGTAGGGCAAGAAGTTATCGTAAACGTTTTGAAATGTTGTTGTAAACAAAACACACCGCAATCGTTTTTTATCGTTTCAGTACGAAATGTATTCAAATGTACAATACACAATAGCTTGACATCCGAGGATGCATTTCCTGAACTGTTCATTTGCTCTCAAATCTACGTAAGTTAATATACCTATTGATATTTCTATATTATAAATCTCTTTGCTCATGTATATAATATTTGTGTATATATATAATACCAAAGTATTCAGATTGATAAGTTTTTACAAACGCAAATTTATTTCAGAAGAAAATATTGTTTGTTGGGTGTCTCCCTTGCCAGTTGCACTTGACAAAGAAAAGAAGGATGGAGGCTTAGAAACCCCTCAGCAGGCTTTGATAACTAGTGGAGAACAAGAAGGTCGAGAGGAAACAATAAGGTTTCCTTGTGATGAGTGCCAATATGTTGGAATGAATGCAAAAGCTCTGAAGAGACATGTTGAAAGTAAACACAAGGGAGTGAGATATCCTTGTGAAAAGTGTGAATACGCTGCAACTACCGTAGGTAATCTTAGAATTCATGTTAATACAAGACATGAAGGGGTTAGATATCCATGTGATAGATGTGAATACACTGCTTCAAGAAAAAGTTATCTAACATTTCATATAGAGAGTATACACGAGGGAGTGAGATATCCTTGTGATAAATGTGATTACACCGGTGTTAAAAAGGAAGATCTAAGAAGCCATATAATGTCTGTTCACGAAGGAGTGAGATATCCCTGTGACCAATGCAGTTATGAAGCAACTACACCTAGGGGTCTGAGGAGTCACATAAAAAGTAAACATCAAGGATATAACCATTTTTGTGTCCAGTGTGATTATTCCGCAGCTACAGCACGCACTTTGAAGAAACATGTTGAATCTAAACATGATGGGATAAGATATCCTTGTGATCAGTGTGATTACGCATCAACCTCTGCAATCAATCTGAAGCAGCATGTTTACAGCAAACATGAAAACGTGATGTTTCCATGCAATGAGTGTGAGTTTTCTGCCACCACGGCAAGTTATCTTCATCATCATAAAAAGAGTAAGCACGAAGGAGTAAGATATCCTTGCACTGAATGCGATTATATGGCAAATAAACCAGGAGATTTAAGAAAACACAATGATAGCAAACACGGAGGCCCGAAAAGATATTCCTGTTCACTTTGTGATTACAAGGCTTATCAGAGTGGGCATTTGAAGTTACATATTGAGACAGTTCACGAGGGAATAACTTATCCTTGCGATAAATGTGAATATGTTGCAACCACAAAAAGCAATCTAATACATCACACTAAAGCAAAGCATGATGGCGTGAGATATCCATGTGACCAGTGCAATCATTCTGCAACTTCAACTGTGCATCTGAAGTCTCACATTCAGAGTAAACACAAGAATGATAAATACCCGTGTATGGATTGTGAATATGTTGGAACTACCGAAAGGTATTTAAAGCGACACGTTAAAACTAAACACAATCTAGTAAATTATCCTTGTGATAAATGTGAATACAGTGCAACAAGCTTATCACATTTAAAAAAGCATCGTCTCACAAAGCATTGACTATTTTACAGTGCTTTTTGGATCCGGATCCGGATCCGCAAAAATATGCGGATCCACGGATCCGGATCCAAGAGATAAAATATCAATAAAAAACTGGAAAAAAAACTTTTTTACTCCTAAAACCCAAATCTGAACTTTTGAAAAAAGAGAGATTATAAAAATGTCCTCATTTTTGAATTGTTTATCAAGTTTTAGGATGAAAATAAGCGAAAAAAAGAAAACAAATAAATTTGAAAATTATTTTGTGTTTAAAAAATTCAGTAAATCTTAAAGAAATCCGGATCCATTTTTTTCCAGTGCGGATCCAGGATCCGGATCCGCATCAAAATTAAATGAATCCTAAGCACTACTATTTTAAGGTTCGTGTTTGACTAAATTTTGAAATTATTACTTATGTTCTACAATCTGTAAATATTTATTTATTGTTACTTTACACGCTTCAAAGCTCGCGGTAATAATAAATCCTCTAGGTAATGTAATAAAACTTGAAAGTGTTTATATTTTCTGAAAAAATCATGTCCCACCTTGATTCCTTAATTACTTGATGTAGTCACTCATACAGAGTCACTTACGTGGCCATGTTATTTGGATTATGGACTTTACTTGTACTTAAATCTCCACGATGGTCTCCATATTCCTTATACTGAGATTAAGCACTAATAATTTCATCATATTTGTTTTTAGAAATCAGTCCCCCCCCCCCCACCCCAGATGTAATTCAGTCATGCAGATCGCAAATCTTTGTTATGGTTTAAAATTTTCGGTTGATAAAAAGTATAAAAAACTGTGTAAAAACTTTGGTTTTAATTATTTTAATTTATTATAATGTTAATTTTGTCATTCCCCCTAGCAACGAAATAAGGATATATATCCCTGTAATTCCCATATTAACGTTTCAAATTTTGTGTAAATGCTTAAAAATTTAAATTGTGAACATGTTCTTTTTGTTAACATTTTAAAACAAAGAAGAAAAAAATTTTGCGGAGTTATAAAAAAAATCGCGGATTTTTAAGAATTTAAACTTTTTTACAAAATTAAAAACCTTTAAAACACATTTTTAAAATTTTTTTTTATCATTCATAAACCTTCCCTGTGGTCACGTGATGTCACACAAAAAATTTGGACCCGATCGGTTCAGCCGTTTTGACGTGTATTGGATACAAACAAACAGACAGACAAGCCAAATTTATATATAGATAAATGTCTTGTTTTATTGTATGTGTATTGAAAATTTATGCAAGTTTTAAATAGTTTTTTTTTTTTGGTATTTTTTGATTATGGTAAAAATTATTAAGTAATTTTCTTTTAGTTATTGATTTAGGAAATGAACGACATGCACCAATGTTTAACAGGATTAAATTGTAAATTTTTTTCATTATTTTTTGTTCGAGAAACTCTAGGATGAACATTTTAGGTAATTATTTCTGAGCATTGGTTATCGAACAACTAGAAATAAATCTTGGAAACATAAGGGAGTACTATATAATGTGGACGTTTTTCTCACTGACTTAGGATGTGCAGATCTGCAGGAAAATCCTAAACATAGTGTCCTAGATGCATGAGGGTTGATAGTTCTTAGCCCTAAAATTCCAGAAGAAATTCTGCGGCCGTACATTTTTTGGAATGTTTAAATTAAACAAAACTAAATGATGAAAATGTTTATGTAAACTTTGTAAAAATAAATTCTTAAATTTCAGAGGGAATGGCCGAAATCTTTAAGGAGGAAAATATTTTGGAGAATGTCGTGATTAAAGAAGAGATTCAAGAAGAAATCCCTCCGTCCTCTTCTGTAGAGGACACGGGTCCTTTAGAGGACACATGTACTGTTTACATAAAAGAAGAAAGTGAACCATCTGATTACATCAAGGAAGAAATCAATCCATCTGTTCATATAAAAGAAAAAATCCCGCCATCTGTTGACATAAAGGAAGAAATCCCGCCATCTGTTTACACAAAGGAAGAAATCCCGCCATCTGTTTACACAAAGGAAGAAATCCCGCCATCTGTTTACATAAAGGAAGAAGATGTAAAAGTTGAAATAACCGAAACTAAAGGTAAGACTTTAATTTAAATCCTCTTTATGATTAATGTCTCAAGTTAAACAGATTCAGAGTAATTGTATTAAAAATGAGAGCTCTTTGTGGGTTAAAAACTCGTGAGAGTAAATCTCCTCTAATATTTCTAGGGTTAGATTTTTAAAGTGGAAGGTTCGACTTGTTTGATAAAATTTTGTTTTCAAGATTCGCATTTTATTTACTTTTACACTACACAGTTGTCAACTGAGATAACACCGAGTAAAAACAAGTTGCAGCATGAAATAAAAACCCACTACTTTTTCAAATTAAACAATGAAGATTGAAGAGATTCTGAAAAGGTCGGGCTTTCAAACGTCGGAATAGTACAAACTTTGTCCTGCGTTCATTGTTAAAAGAAAAATGAATAAATTTAAAATCTCACTTTTTAAGAAAAAAGTACCCGAATAAACTTGAAATTAATTAATTTTCTTCTACCCTATACTCAACCCCCCCCCCCCCTCTTCCTGCAGCCTCAGACTTTGTGAGATTGCGAGATTTAAATGTGAAAATTGCGGATTTTCGAAATTGTAAACTTAATCTTTTAGTTTATTGAAATATATTTCCGTAGCCCGATGTTTGTACAGGTCTAACGTTTGCACTGATCCAACGTTCGCAATGACCGACGTTTGTAATTATTTTTAAGAACTCAAAAACTTAAATTGAAAAATCTGCAAGAATTCGAGAAGGACTAAAAATGATAACTTAATTAGAACAATACTTAAATACCAAAATAAGCTAAAAGTTAAGTTTAGTTTAGTTTTTTTATTACTCCAAGGATCCCTAAAGGGGTGTAGTAGGAGTTACAGTGGTTAACATAATAAATCTGCATCAGAAGTTTTTTTTGTGGTTCTTCTGATAGTAAAAATAAGGCAGATTTAATGAATGTACGTATGAATAATATAAAATTTGGGTTCCTCTGTTTAAAAAAATTTTTTTTTTGATGACATCGCATCTTTTTGTTCTATTGATTTTTTTTTATATTTTACCTGTTTCCCTTGTTTTCTTTTCTTTTATCTTTTATTCATTCTTTAACATTGTTTTATTTTTTGACATAGATTTGTTCCTTCTTTTTTTGCCATATCCCATCTAATATACATGAGCATATAAAAACTATTAAGCGGTCGTCATTACAATAAAAACATACAAATTATACAATTTTTGGTTTTAAAGAAGTATTTATCATATCTTTGTTAAAAACTGATAGCAGAGCTTGATTCTTTAATTCTAGAAGGAGGAGCATTCCACTTCGAAATCAGTCTCTGACTGAAAACGTATTTCCTTATATCACTGTTCACTGTGTTGGAAAGAATGTTTTAGGCTAAGACACGTTTCTGGTAAACCTTAACCCAACACTATTCTGGTTTTACTCTGTAATGGTAGTTCATGATTTTGATCACCTAGATCATGTCAAACCTAACACGCAGATCCTCTAAAGACTGGAAATTTAACTTTTTAAATTATCTGCAAAGGTTGCACTAGTTCAGCCAGAAACCATTTAAACTGCTTATTTTTGATGTTTTCCCAAGGTTGCTTTATCAGATTCAGGCCAAGCAGGGGCGGATACAGGATTTAAGTGAGGGGGGGGGGAGCAGGATGTTTTAGGAACAAGAAGATTCATAATTAGGAACAAAAAATCCCACCGCAGGTGAAAATTTTTTCTGACTTAAAGGGACTGTAAAGGAAAAATGAAAGGGAATATAGGCTGAAAGCTAATCACTTTAGCTCTCGATCGCGACCCATGAAAGTTATATCTGATGTTCCTATTTCGAGAAATTGATATACAACTTTGTCAAATTTATACAAAAATTAATATATATACAATTTTGTATAAAAGTAGTAGGTTTAAATAGATCATATACAGCAAGTAAGCAACCAAACTGAAAACGATGATATCCCAGAGAAAGCTAATTGTAACTTACATTTACTCCGATTCTAATTTTATATTTGCTATTTCTATTTTTAATAGATTTAATTCATAATATTATTTATACGTCCGTATTACTTAACCTGAAACTCCACCAATAGCAGTGCACTAAAGTGGTCACGTCATACAGGCGGAGACACATGACCAGTATACTGCTCTGCCATTGGTTCTGGTCACGTGATTTTAATTTAAGATTTTCTAAATTTTACATATATGAACTTTCGTATAATTTTAACACAGTTTTATATCAATTTCTCGAGACAGGGTCATGGGTCGCGATCAAGAGCTAAAGTGATTAGCTTTCAGCCTATTCCCCCTTTCATTTTTCCTCTACAGTCCCTTTAAAAGACTCTGTATTTTTATAGTCCTTAATTAAGTCATCACCACCACAACTCATTGGTTCAAAATACATTTCAATCAGGATAGATGTGTGATCACTGTAACCTACATTTCTAATACTTTCAACACTAATAACAGGATCAGGACAATTTACAGAAGCTAAGTCCAGAGTGTTCCCTCTAATGTGAGTAGGAAAATCAACCAGTTGGGTATAAAAGTTTTCTTGTCATGCTAGTATAAGATTACATCCCCAATTCCCAGTCAATATTGGAAAGTTTAAATCTCCTATTATCATGTTAATTGTACTTGGTGAAGATTTAAACAAGTTAAAAAGATGCTCAGTATTGTTTTCAGAAGAATTTGGTGATCTGTAAACTAGACAAATTGACATTTTATTCTTGTTTCAGTAATGATTAAACAAATTTGGAGATACCTGAACTTTAATAATGAGATCATCCCTTGATTAGACAAGAAGACCTCCACCAATTCCGTTGTTAATAATAGTGAAGGGGGCCCGAAGCGCTCGAATCCTAGTATTTTCAGCTTTCATCACACGATTTTTTCGTCTGCACCACTAATTATATCACAACTCAACATTATTTATCCGACCACACATTTTTTTCTTCCGGGCGTTGTTTCTGTGTTTTCAAATGTATTAGTTTTATGCCTTAAAACACTTTTCTTCAAATATAGGCAACGTCATGTTATTTAGTATGGTTTGATTTTGTTTGAAAAATAAAACAAAAGTTAGTCACAATTTAGCAAAGAACGGAAAATATGTGTCCCTCACCTCACACACTTCAGTAACCCAACTTTTGTGTTCTTGTTACTAAAAAACCATAGTTTTCTTAATTTGAGACATAAAATGTTAAAATTAAGTGAGTTCTGGTGGAAAACATTAGAGTGGATACGACCAATTAGAAATTTAATGATTATTATTAAAACACTTTCAGAACATGATAAACATAAAATAATGGTTTATATCCTTTACTACGATTAAGTAAGAGGTTGTTTTCTTCCTAAAAATAACTTTCTTTAAAGAAAAATGGTAATTCTAAGGTGATAATTAGCTGGGATTTTTAGGATCTACAATCAAACATTAACATTCTTTTAGTAGAAAACATTGCAGTAAGTCATAATTTGCGTGAGGGATTGTGAAATAAAAAAAATGTTTATGCACACTGTACCTTCATAAGATGTTCTTCTTTAAAAAAAAACAGGATCAAATATTTTAAACCATTATGAACAGCATGACGCGGCTCAAATTTTGAATATAACAATTTAGAGAATGTAAACAATGCCGGACGAAAAAATCATAACTTTCGACTGTTTTCGGCAGAATAATAAAAAAATATTTACAACATTTTTAATTTTTTATTTTCTACTATATCCTTTTTTAACATTTGATATAAAGTGTAGGACGTCAGCAGATGTGTAGAACAAATGGAATGTAGGGCAAATGACGTTTCATTGTAGGACAAATTATTGTAGGATAAACAACACATCGTCCTAAAACATATAGCAGCAAAAAATACTTATTGATTTATCGAGTTGCTCAAAAAATGTCCCATTCATATTTTTTTTAAACGTTGTTGAATTTTTAGGCCCCTATTGTATTTATTAAGTTTTACTTGTTTGTGTTTAGATTTTAGTAACGGGGTCGATCCTTTCCGATTGACAGAGAGGAACAAGAAACGGAAACTAGAAGAAAGGAATTATCCATGTGGTAAATGTGAGTACTCTACGCCTAGATTAAATCGTCTAAAACACCACATTTTGAATAAACACGAAGGAGTAAGATATCCTTGTGACAAATGTGATTTCGCTTCAACCTCTGCACATTATATCAGAAAGCATATTCAGAGTGTACATGAAGGAGTGAAATATCCTTGCGATAAGTGTGAGTATATAACACACAAAGAAATTTATCTTAAAAAACACAAAGAAAATAAGCATGAGGAAGTGAGATATCATTGTGATAAATGTGAATACATAGGAACTACGGCGAGTAATTTCAAAAGACATAAAGAGAATAAACACGAAGGAGTAAGACATCCTTGTGACAAATGCGAGTTCGCTTCAACGACTAAATGGGAACTAAAAAGACATTTTGAGAATGTACATGAAGGGGTGACATATCCTTGTGATAAATGTGAGTATGTTGCAAGTAGAGAAAGTTATCTTAGAAACCATATTAAGAGTAAACATGAGGAAGTGAGATTTCATTGTGATAAGTGTGAGTACGCAGCGACTACAGCGGGAAATCTTAAAACGCATAGGGAGATTAAGCATGATGGACTCAGATATCCCTGTGTTATGTGTGAATACATTGCGACTACAGTAACTGATCTCAAAACACATATTGAGAGTAGGCACATAGGCTTGAGATATCCTTGTGATAAGTGTGAATACGCTGCAATTACACCAAGTATTCTAAAAATGCATATTAAGCACAAACACGAAGGAGTGAGATATCCTTGTGATAAATGCGAGTTCAGTGCATCTTCGTCTAGATATCTTAGACTTCATATAGAGAATAAGCATGAAGGAGTGAGTTATCCGTGTTCTCAATGCGATTTTACTGCATCTTTGGCAAGTCACCTTAGAACACATATTAAAAGTAAACATGAAGGAGTGAGAAAGAGATATCCATGTGATAAATGTGAACACGCTGCTACTACACCAAGTGCTCTTAGAATCCATATTGAGAGCAAACATGAAGGATTGAAATATCCTTGTGAGAGATGTGAGTACACGGCACCAAGAGAAAATGATCTGAAGCAGCATATTAAGAGAATGCATGAAGGAGTGAGATTTCCTTGTGATCAATGTGAGCACACTTCTTCTACAACTAGTAATCTTAAAATCCATATTGAGAGTAAACACAAAGGTGTTAGACATCCTTGCACTAAATGTGAGTTTGTTGCAACTACAGCTGGTAATCTTAGAAGACATATTGAAAATAAGCATGAAGAAGTGAGATATCCGTGTGATAAATGTGAATACTCTGCAACACAAGTAGGTCATTTAAGAATCCATATAGAGAGTAAACATGAAGAAGTGAAATATCCTTGTGATATGTGTGAATATGCTGCATCTAATGTAAGCAACTTAAAAAGACATGTTGACACTAAGCATGAAGTGAAGGAGGAGTATGATATTCAATCCATGTAATAAATGCGACCCACTGCAATGTATATGTTAAATGATCTTAAAGTTCACTTTGATAGTAAATACTAAGGATTAAGTTTTCTTTGTGATAAACGTGATAATTTTATTTTGATAAACTTGTCTTATAAATATTTATTTTGTAGTTAAAATCTCACATAGAAATAAATTATACGGTCTGAGCTGAAAACTTAAGATTGGTGGATATCGAAATTAATGCTTGATCCTCTCTTTTTCTAAATATCGATACTAACCTAGTCTTGTCCTTGTATCCTGAAAAGTGTATAAAATTCAACCAATCAGAGTCGCATATATAAAGCCGATAAATTTAAAATTTTGCGCGCCATTTAAGATAAATATTCTGACTCTCTAATTTTTAAAAACCTGTTTTTGATTTTTCTCTACTACATCCAAGAAAGAACAGTTTAAGGAGAAAATCTAAAGCGTGTTCATTGGATACTCAGATTAAGTAACCGGGATTAAGTTTTCAGCTCTGAGCTGTAAACTTTAGAATGGGATATCCTTTATTCCGATCTGTTGACTTATCTGGAGATTAAATTCATGAGGAAAACAAGCCATATTTAATCTGGATATTAAGAAAAAGAGTGGATTAAGCATTAATCCTGATATCCACCATTCTAAAGTTTTCAGTTCTGAGCTGATAACTTTAGAATGGGATATCCTTAATCCCGATCGGTTAATTTATCTGGAGATTAATAACAAGAGGAGAACAAGCATTTATTAATCTGGAGATTAAGAAATTATATATATAATATATTCAAATGTACATATATGAGCGAAGAGCTTTATTATATAGATATGTGCTGATAACTGAACCCGAAATTTGAATGATATGAACTAAACTGAAAACAAAACTAAAATGAAAACGATAATTCGTGCTGTGTAATTTTATTTGTATATCTTGTTACTACTATCCAAGTGAACGTCATTAATATGCAGTCCTTTTCTTAATTTATGTACTGGTTAATTTGAAAATTTAACTTTTCTTGGTGCAATAGTCTGCGAAGTTCTAATAGCCTTGATTGTGTTAAATTGTGTAATTATAGTTAAGCCTATATGATCAAATACATGATTTCAGAGAGAATGGCCGGACATTTGAAGGAGGAAGTGAAAACAGAAAATATTGATATTAAAGAAGAAATTCCAGAAGAAACCCCTCCGTCCTCTTTTATAGAGGAGACCTGTACTGTTTACATAAAGGAAGATGATGTAAAGGTGGAAATTTCTGAAACTAAAGGTAAGGCTAAAACTAGAACTTTAAAGGTTTGATTCACGCGTTTTTTAAAAATAGTATGGACTCTTTTTGAATGTCAGACGAATACGTTTCCTATTAAGTGTCAGTCAATGTTTAAGATTGGGCAGGGTCAAGACGATATCTGGGTCTAGCGCTGCGGCTAGGACGGGTTAGGGGACCTGCTTTTAATTATAATCAAATAAGTACTTTTGGTAAAAAAATTCTATTAAAACAGGCGTATTTCCGACCAATTCAGAGTAATTCAAATAGGATTGATTGAAAACAATATTTTTACAAACTTTGCATAATTTTCACATTTATAACTATTTTACTCCATACAATGCGACAATATGCTTTAATATTTTAAGTTCAGCTTATTAGATCCAGGATTAGCTGAGGTTTAGCTTGTTAGCTCTAGGAGTAGCTCAGTTTAGATTATTAGCTCCAGGAATAGCTGAGTTTAGATTATTAGCTCTAGGAGTAGCTTAGTATAGCTTATTAGCTCCAGGAGTAGCTGAGTTTAGATTATTAGCTCTAGGAGTAGCTTAGTTTAGATTATTAGCTCCAGGAGTGGCGGAGTTTAGATTATTAGCTCCAGGAGTAGCTGAGTTTAGATTATTAGCTCTAGGAGTAGCTTAGTATAGCGTATTAGCTCCAGGAGTAGCTGAGTTTAGATTATTAGCTCTAGGAGTAGCTGAGTTTAGATTATTAGCTCCAGGAGTAGCTGAGATTAGATTATTATTCGCATCCTTTCAATGAAGTTTCATAGCAAGGCACATAAAAATACAGTTCTAATGGCAGTATTCATTGATTCAGTACAATATACAATTATGAAACACATTGGGAACTTGAAAATTACAGGTACTGAATTTCTAGTTGTAAATTCACTGAATAATGTTTTTTTTAAGAAGATGATAATCTGTTGTCTGAATTTTCTATAACCAAGAAGAGGAAACTCGAAGCAAGAAGATATCCTTGTTCCGAATGTAGGTGTAATTACACTAGATTAAGTGATCTAAAAAGACATGTTGATAGTTTGCACAAAGGAGTTAAGTATCCCTGTGATAAGTGTGAATATGTTGCAACTACGGCAGGTCAGCTTAGTAATCATATCCAGAGTAAACACGAAGGAATAAGATATCCCTGTGATAAATGTGAGTACGTTGGAACTAAAGCAAGTTATCTAAGAAATCATATTCAGATTAAACACGAAGGAGTGAGATATCCGTGTGATAAATGTGAGTACGTTGCAAATACGGCAGGGACTCTTAAATTACATCATGAGAGTAAGCATGAAGGAGTGAGATATCCATGTCATAAATGTGATTACACTGCAAGTTTGGCAACTTCTCTCAAGAGACATATTGAGAGTAAACATGAAGGAGTGAGATATCCATGCGATAAATGTGAGTACACTGCAACCTTGGCAACTACTCTCAAGAGACATATTGAGAGTAAACATGAAGGTGTGAGACATCCTTGTAGTTTATGTGAATACATCGGAATTTTTGCAAGTGATCTTAAAAGACATGTTCAGATAAAACATGAAGGAGTGAGGTTTCCATGTGACAAGTGTGATTACATTACAACCTCATCAAGTTCTTTAGAATCGCATATGAAGATTAAGCATGAAGGAGTGAGATATCCCTGTGATGAATGTGAGTATGAGTCAACTAGATTAAAGGAACTAAAAATACATGTTGATTTTAAGCATAAGGGAATAAGATATCCTTGTGATAAATGTGAATATGTTGCAACTAGGGCAAGCCATCTTAATAGTCATATTAAGACTCAACATGACGGAGTGAGATATCCCTGTGGTCAATGCGACTTCACTTCTACCACGACAAGTGACCTCAAAAGGCACATAAGGACTGTACATGAAGGAGTGAGATATCCGTGTGACAAATGTGATTACACAGCAACAACAAAAGGTGTTCTGAAACTGCATATTAAGAGTAAACATGAAGGAGTTAGATATCCTTGTGATAAATGTGAACACACTGGAATTACATTAAGTGCTCTAAGAAAACATATTAAGAGTAAACATGAAGGAGTAAGATATCCGTGTGATCAATGTGAGTTTGCTGGATCTACACTTAGTAATCTTAAAGTCCATATTGAGACAAAACATGAAAAAGTCAGATATCCCTGTGTTTTATGTGAGTACGAGGCATCAAGACCGATTGATTTGAAATGTCACATTCGGGTTAAGCATGAAGGAGTAAGAAGTTCTTGCAGCAAGTGTGATTATACTACAACCAGGGAAAGTCTCCTGAGAATACATATTAGAAGTGAACACGAGGGAATCAAATATCCATGTGATCAATGTGAATACGCTGCAGCCACAGTTAGTTCTCTTAAAAAGCACATTTTGAACAAGCACGAGGGAGTGACTCATCCATGTGATAAATGTGAGTATTCTGCAACAACAGCAAACAATCTTCGAGTTCATATAAAGAACAAACACGAAGGAGTGAGATATCCATGTGATAAATGTGATTATCTAGCAACTACAGCTGCGATACTTAAAACACATATTGAGGGTAAACATGAAGAAGTAAGATTTCCTTGTAATATTTGTGGATACGCTGCAATATCACAAGTTGCTCTGAAAAGGCACAAGAGAAGAAATCATTTGAAAATAGTTGATTAGTCGTATTATTTTGTGACTGCTGAATCAACTCAAACAATTGTGTACAGTATGAGATATATAAACTGCAAACTTTATGTAAATTGAAAAGTGATTTAGAAATTTGAAAGAAATCATGTGAATGAAAATTAAACGTAGTTTTCAAAGAAATTCTGTAGATTTGTAATTTACGTCCTTTTTCTCAATTTTTTTTTCAAAATTAATCTAATTTTGCATATTGGTGGCAAAATTCTGCTTTCAATGGCACCCTTATTCGTCCAAAATCGATGAAATAGAATCAGAAAAATATGTGCAGCAAAGCAATTTTTTAATGATTTTCGTCTTTAAATTGTTTTTGCAAAATTGCGAAATTGAAAACTGTATAGTATTACAATCATTAAAAGGTGTCACAACATGAACCTTAACTCTATCGTCTGTAGCAAGTTTATTTTCTTAACATATACGCCCGCAATATTATGTTCAATTATAGTCAGAAAGTGTTTTTTTCTTTAAAAAATTAGTAAATTTGAACAGGGGTGTATAAAATTCCAATTTTTTATTCTTTCCCGCCATCAAATATTTTTTTTGATTTCCTTCCCCAAACTTGAAAACTAAAATAGCATCATTTTTTTATGCAGTGCAAAATACATCATTGTTTAATATTTATATTGCAGTGCATAATAATCCCTGAATGGATGCATTTTGAAAAGCTTAAATAACGCCTTAGGCAAATTTTTAAAAACTTTGGGTAATGGTGTTATGGCAATGGCAAAAAAAGTCGAAATAGATAATTTGTCAGTCAGGAGTATATTGTTTCTTGGAACTCATTTCCCATCATTATTCGTGGGGGAGAATTTGTGAAGATTTTTATTTTGGTATGCCTATTTAGAAAAATTATTGAGTAATGCGTATTCTTTTATCTTATTTGTTATGAAGCTGTGCGCGGAGCGCAAACAAATTTTTATACGTTTTTTATGCTGCATTATGACAATTAAAAATTATTTGTGAAAAATCTCTAATTTTAGAAAAAGTTAGATTTGTAAAGTCAAAGAGCTCCAGCCCTTCCCTTCCCTTTATTCCCCTTTCATTCACATCTTTATCTCCAACCTTCCATCGATTCTCTACCTTCCACTTCCCTTCGTTCCCCTTTCCTGACTACCCTATCTTCCCCATACCTTTCTCTTATCTTACTTCTACTTCCATTTCCGGTCCCTTCCGTAGTTCCCTATATTCCTCTTTCCCTCTCAATTTTCCACTTTCCCTCTCAATTTTCCTCTTTCCCTCTCAGCCTTCCCCTTTCCTTCCCAACCTTCCCCTTCCCTACTTTTCCTCTTCCCCACCTATATCTTTCCCTACCTATCTCCTTCCCTACCTATCCCCTTCCGTACCTATCCCCTTCCCTACCAATCCCCTTCCCTACTTTTCCTCTTCCCCACCTACATCTTTCCCTACCTATCCCCCTCCCTACCTATCCATTTCCCTCCCTACCTTTCCCCCTTCCCCACCCTTACCTTTCTTTCGCTGTTACCTTTCCCTTTTCCTTTACTTTTTCCTTTTCCTTTTATTTTCCCACTCCCTTTTTCCTTTTTTTCATTTCCTTTTTCTTTTCCCTTTTCCTTCCCCTTTCCCTTCCCCCTCCCACTTTCCTTCCCTTACCCTCCTCTTGGGTCTTTGATTCCCCCCCCCCCCTCGGAACGAATTTTATAAACCCTTGAAAATAAACGCTCTTAAGATAGAAAATAAATTAAAACAGCATAGCAGTACGATCAATGCAGCCTCATAAAGCATTGTCCTAATATCACGGTGGCGTTCTGGGGATTCCACATTGGGGATATTTTTATTATCAATACTTGATAAATTAGTTAATAACGTTTATTGGACAATCTATTAAAGAAAGAAACTTTTAACTTAAAAAATATCTTTTCATTTCACCTTTTTTACAACTTTGCTTTAATGTAATTATACAATATTTTGACTATTAACGGTTTGATGAAAGAAAACATTAAGAAAATAAGATACAATTTTTCAGATGTGAAAACCAAAAAAACTTAAATGTTCAAAATAACTGAAGCAACGGGGTGCAGTGGTATTTTAACTTTTTTATAAAGTTGCTAACAAATTCTAAAGCCAAAAATAAATCATAGTAATGTTGATGTGCATTGTGCATCTCTTTCTAATTGAATTTAATCGATTTTAGTTGCAATCAAAGTAAAATTTTAGTAATCGTGCAATTAAAAATGTGATATATGTTTTCTGATTATGTTATATGTGTAGACCCATTGGAGATAATAATCACTGTTGGGACGGTTCCAACGGAATTAAATACATGTCTAGGTCATTTTTTATACCTAGAAATGTTTCGAGGAGGGTGTAGCCAATTAATATGAAAATTTTCTAAACTGTAAAATTTACATTGTTACTCTAAACCAGATATAATTGAAGTATTCCCAATTAAACTTGACTTCGTCTATTGATTATTATTGCCCTTGGCGTTATTTCTAAGATTTCTATGATAATCTATCCAAAGATATAAAATATATAAAAATATTTTGAAGCCTTTTTGATCAAATATATATTTTCATAGAAAATGACTGAAAACATGAAGGATGAAATAAAAATGGAAAACATTGAGATTAAAGAAGAGATTCATGAAGAAATGCTTCCATCCTCTACTGTAGAGGATACATGTACTGTTTACATAAAGGAAGAAGATGTAAAGGTCGAAATTGCTGAAACTAAAGGTAAGACTTAAAACTGAATTGTTTAATGAAGATGTCCTGCAATAGTTCATCCCCCAGAATAATTTTATCATTTTAACACAATGCTTATCAATTTATTTTCAATTAAAACCCATATTTTAAATTATCAATGTCGCAGGTAGATATTCATTAATTAATTGTGCTAAAGGAAGACGACTTTTAAGAGTAAATACCTTAAATATATTTTAGAAATAAATACGCATTTAGATACGCATTTAGTTACGTAATTTAGTAATTTTCAATGTTCTCACATTGCCTTTAAAGTCGTTCATTTTGTTGTAATTGTTAAAACTGTAGGGCAGGGTGACAAACTGATATAAAACACAGACTCGATTTTTCTTCTTTTTTTAGTCCTTCATTTATGATTTGGGTAAAGTATAATTGTTGAGTTCTTGAAAAATAAGTTTTTTCTGTCTCAATAATATTTCCACCAACAAAGTAATCATATGAGATCATCAGATATCTGAAAACACACAGTATGTTAGTACTAAATTATTCAGCGGTTCAGGTCCTTTAGGGGCCTAATATAGGAGTAAAAGTTAGCTTTGACATTGATTATGTTTTCTAGATCTGCATTTATCTGTTTATATAATGTTCAAATCTTTGTCTTAAATTATTTGTCCTATAATAACTCATAAACTCTTTTGCCCGGCGATTTGCCTTAAATTTTGATTGAGGTTATTTGTAAAACCACAGGCATGTTCTTAGATTGGTTTAAAATTTGAGTAAGTTGACAACTCTAACGAGAAAGATACGAATATTATTCTTGGCAAAGCTGGGTTTCCATGATTCTTTCACACGTTTTAGTAATTTTACCCTACTGTGAAAATAAACTTTCAATTATGTGCGAATGTAATTATTTGTTATAATTAATTATGAAAAATGTCCAGAAGTTTACTATCAACTTCAAAGTTCAAAATTACTGATTTATCTATAATCTATATTCCTAGTTATTACCAAAATGTTAGATAAATCTGCACCCTTCTCTGTAACTTATTTATTTATTGCCTTATTTTCAAATAATTATCAATATGTAACACAACCGGTAACCATCAAAGAGATTATCAGTTTATTCAGTATATTTATTCAAGAATTTTTATTTTCAAGATGAATCTTCAAATCAAGAAGAGGAAACTTCTGAAGTTTACAGAACCAAGAGGAGGAAACTAGAAGGTGTAATACACCCTTGTGATAAATGTGAGTATGTTGCAACTAAGGCAAGTTATCTAAAAAATCATGTTCAGAGCAAGCATGAAGGAGTTAGATACCCGTGTGACAAATGTGAGTACGCGGCAACTACAGCAGGGACGCTTAAATTACATTATGAAAGTAAGCATGAAGGAGTAAGATATCCTTGTGATAAATGTGAGTACACTGCCATGTTGGCAACTACTCTTAAGAGACATGTGGAGAGTAAACATGAAGGATTGAGATACCCTTGTGATAAATGTGAGTACGTAGCTACTTTTGCAAGTGATCTTAAAAGACATATTCAGATTAAGCACGAGGGAGTGAGGTATCCTTGTGATAAATGTGATTACACTACCACCTCATCATATGCTTTAGGATTGCACATGAAGAGTAAGCATGAAGGAGTGAGATATTCTTGTAATGAATGTGAGTATGAGTCAACTAGATTAAATGATCTTAAGATACATGTTGACAGTAAGCACAAGGGAGTAAGTTATCCTTGTAATAAATGTGAATACGTGGCAACTAGAGTAAGTCATCTTAATAGTCATATCAAGAGTAAACACGAAGGAGTAAGGTATCCCTGTTGTCAATGTGACTTTACTGCAACTACCACAAGTGATATCAAGAGGCACATGAGGACTGTACATGAAGGAGTGAGATATCCATGTGACAAATGTGATTACTCTGCAACAACACTTAGTGTTCTTAAATTACATATTAAAAGTAAACATGAAGGAGTTAGATATCCTTGTGAAAAATGTGAATACTCTGGAATAACATTAAGTGCTCTTAAAAAACATATTAAGAGTAAACATGAAGGTATTAGATATCCATGTGATAAGTGTGATTTTGCTGGAACTACAAATAGCCATCTTAAAGTTCACATTGAGACTAAACACGAAAACTTAAGATATCCTTGTGTTTTATGCGATTACGAGTCATTAAGGTTGACTGATCTGAAAAGACATGTTCAAATTAAGCATGAGGGAGTGAGAGTTTCGTGTGATAAGTGTGATTATACTGCAACAAGGGAAAGTCATTTGAAAATACATATTAGAAGTAAACATGATGGAGTCAGATATCCATGTGGTGAATGTGAACACAGTGCAACCACAGTTAGTTCTCTTAGAAAGCATATTGAGAGTAAACACGAAGGAGTGAGTTATCACTGTGATAAATGTGAGCATTCTGCGACCACAGCAAGTAATCTTAGAGTACACATTAAGAGTAAACATGAAGGAGTCAGATATCCCTGTGATAAATGTGATTACTCAGCAACCACCGCAAATATTCTAAGAACACATAATGAAAGTAAGCATGATAATGTTATATTTCCCTGTGATATCTGCGGATACGCTGCAACATCAAAAAGTGCTCTGAAAAAGCACATGGGAAGAAATCATAAGGAAGTAATAAATTAGAATTGTCTTAAATGTATTACAATGACAACGATATATTGTTTAAGTCTGACTCTAGTTTGAATGTTTGGTCATTGTTAACTATACATATATACACCGTAAATGTATATTGCAATATTGTTCAAGTTTGTCTTTGAAATAGAATCCAAACTTTAAAATTTATAATGTAAACTAAAACAAATATGATATTTTGTTTTACGTTAATGTAAAAATGGAGTTCTTAACTTTAAATCCCAGGGGTGTATAAAATTCTTTCGCCCAAGAAGTGGGGAAGGGAATTGGGAAGGGAACTAGACAGGTTGGGAAGGAGAAAGGTAGGGAGGGGAGGAGATAGATAGGGAAGGGGAAAAGTAGGGAATGGGAAGATTGGAGAAGGTCGGGAGGGTAAGGGGAAGATTGCGAGGGAAACTGGAAGGTTGAGAGAGAAAGAGGTAGGTTGAGAGGGAAAGACAAAAATAGGGATTAGGGAACTACAACAGGAACAGGGAAATTAGGGAAGTAGAGGGAGAATGTATGGGGAATAAATTGATTGTAAGTTGCCAGATAAGGAAGGAAAGGGGAATTTAAGTAAGTAAAGGGTTGGAGCTCTTACATCTTCATGTCTAACTTTTTCTGAAACCGGACAGTTTTTTTACAAATAATTTTCCCCGATAGTTATAATGCAGCATAGAAAAACTTTATCAAAATTTTTCGCACTCAGCGCACAATTTCATTCAAAAATATTAGAAAAGAATATTTAGAAAAATTATTGAGTAAGGGGACTAGTCAAACATATTTAGAATAATTGCGCTACGCACATAAATTCAGAACAAGCAGGGAAGAATAAAAAAAATTGGAATTAAGTACACTTCTGGTAAATCCATCAATATCTTTGATATTAACAAGAAATATGTTTAGCATTCTCAATTAAATTAAATGGAAACGCCTTACTGTTTATCTATGTTTAGTATTATATGTGTTTAGTGTTTATCTGTGTTTAGTGTTAATCTGGGTTTAGTTTTTATCACTGTTTAGTGTTTATCTGTGTTTAGTGTTTATCTCTGTTTATTGTTTATCAGTGTTTAGTTTTTATCTGTGTTTAGTGTTTATCTCTGTTTATTGTTTATCAGTGTTTATCTGTGTTTAGTGTTTATCAGTGTTTAGTGTTAATGTTAAAAACCGGAAATGGACCAAAAAACGGAAACGAAAAAAAAGGAATTTGAACAAAAAATGAGAATTTTAAAGTTTAAAAAACCGGAATCAGACAAACAGAAAGAGGAAATTGATAAACAAAATGAGGATTAAAAGTTTCAAAAAACCGGAAACGGGCATTTTTAAAGCATAAAAAGGACCAAAAAAACGCAAAAGTTCTCATTTCAGTTCACAAAAAACCGGAAACGGATAAAAAACGGAAACTCAGTAAAAAGAGGAAACCTATCAACAAAATGAGATTTTAAAAGTTTTTTAAAAACGGAAACGATAAAAAAATGTGCGGAAATGGATCAAAAAAGGGGAAACCGATCAAATATAAATATTGGGAAACGGATAAAAAATATCCGAAAATCCCTAGAATTTTAAGGGATGATTGAAATTAACCCTCATATAGTTGAAAAAGGAAGCAAAGTGAGAGACAAACCAACGGCACAAATGGAAAAAGTTAGTCGTAGATATGAAAATTGATAATCTATATAATAAAGGTCTTCGCTTATATAGATATATTTGTATGTTAGCTTTATCTGGTTAAACGGCTGAAACGAAAGGGCTGACATTTTTTGAGGAAACCCATGGGTAGCCGGGGGCTAAAAAATTCAAGGTTTTTTTTAAATCGAAGTTTTTTTCTTCAAAAATAATTTTTTTAATTGGATTCCAAGGGCAATATTGGGCACCTAAACTGTAGTAAATGATCGATTAATTATCATTCCATAGAAATCAAGCCACCATCAAAAATGATTATAATTATAGGGACGAAAATGAAATAACTTATATACATTTCAAATATTGATGATGCTTCTGAACTATTTTTTGCTCTGTCCTTTTCCCGGTCTTTTGTTTGTTAGTTTGAAATGTTTTTTTTTTTTTACTTTTTATTGATTAATGTCGGTGTCATGATTTTTTTTCGGTCTCAAGTGTTAAATTTCAAAGTTGTATCTCAGAAATTCTAAACGGTATTCATTCATTTACGCGTTGATATCACCAATGTTGCTGTGATATACCCAGGGTAGCTCAAGATTAGACCCGGGGCTAACCCTAATCCAGATGAAGAGATCTAATGCCCAGGGTTTTTGCTGTGTATGCTGTATGATGAGATATATTCAGGATTTCATCAGACTATAGTTCTCATCACTTCTCCTTGGGGCATTTGTAATATAATGTGCTACCAAGAGCAATACAATCTTTATTATCTATGTTTCGTTATCTATTTTATCTATGTTCATGTTAACCCTGACCGGCCATTTTCTCATTCATTAAATATAAAGTTTCAGAAAGAATGGATAAACTTTAAGACGGAAAAAAAGATGGGAAAAAAAGATTAAAGAAGAGATTCGGGAAGAGGTTGAACAAGAACTTCTTCCAACCTCTACTGAAGATACTGAAGATACTGAAGAGGATACATGTTCTGATGAAGATGTGAAAATTGAAAGTCATTTTTTCATCCTCAAAAATCCTACAAGGTACGTGTATATTTTCTGAAAAAAACGGGATATATTTTTGTGAAAATTTAATTTAAATTTAAAAAAAATTATATTTGACATGCAAAGAATTATGTAATAGTATGAAAATGTTTTTGATTAGCGAGAAACAATCATAGAAATGACCTACGAGGCGTTACAAAAATAATACTCTAAACGACGAACAGAAAATGTTCTAGTTTCAGGTCTATTCGGTGGAATAAGTGAGTTTATGAATGATCAAAATTTCAAATATTTGTCTCCATCAAAATTCGATCTTCATTAAATTTTTGAAAATTTGGAAAATCCACGAAATTTTTTGTGAAAATCCGCGAATTATTTTTGTTTTGTTATACGATGTACACAAAGAGAACATTTTCACAATTAATTTAGAAGATGGGCGCGAAGCGCCCTCTAAGGCTAGTATTATAAAAATAAAGACTAAAAACCTTGCATTTCCCCCCTGCGCGTCAAAAGTTACTGCCCCCTCCTCCCAAGAGAAGTGTAATTTTTGAAAATATATAGCCCTGGTTTTAAATCTGAAAATTTCATAAAAATTAGTATTTTACTATTTATTATTTACTATTTTTTTCAGAGATGAAAGCTGAAAATTTCAAGATGGAAATTGACATAGAGGAGACTGGTATCAAAGAAGAGAATGAGGAAGAAATCCTTCCATCCTCTACTGTAGAGGAAACATGTACTCTGTACATAAAAGAAGAAGATGTTAAGACTGAATCTAAAGGTAAATGTAATGAAAAGAATATTTTTTTTTACTGGTATGAATTTAGATTATATTTGTAATTAAAGTTGATCTTCGATCATTGATCATGCTGATTTCATTTGTTTAGATGAACCCATGAACAATGAAGAAGATCCTCTCCGATTTGATTCAAAAATAATCACGAAGAGTAATTTTGAAGAAAGAAACTTCCCTTGTGATTTATGTGATTACGTTGCAATATCCTCAAATAGTCTTAAAAAGCACATCGAAAGTAAACATGAAAGCATGAGATATCCTTGTGATAAATGTGACTACACTGCATCTAGAGTGAGTGATCTAAAAAAGCATGATAAAATAAAACATGAAGTAGTGAAATATCCCTGTGGCGAATGTGAGTTTAGCGCAGCTACAAAAGTGGGCCTAATAAAACATTCTGAGAGGAAACATAAAGGGATTAGATATCCTTGTGTTCAATGTGACTTCACTGCAACTTTTGCTTCTGGCCTCAAGGAACATACTAAGAGTAAACATGAAGGAGTAAGATTTCCTTGTGATAAATGTGAGTACTCCGCAACTACAGCAAGATATCTTAAAAAGCATATGAAGAGTAAGCATGATGGAGTGAGATATCCTTGCGATAAATGTGAATTTGCTTCAACCAGGCAAAGTTTTCTCAAAGAGCACATTAAGATTAAGCACGAAGGAGTAAGACATCCTTGTGATAAATGTGAGCACTCTGCAACCACCCTAAGCCATCTGAGAGAACATATTAAGAAAGTACATGAAAAACTGAGATATCCTTGCGATAAATGTGAATTTGCTTCAACTAGACAAAGTCTCCTCAAAGAGCACATTAAGATTAAACACGAAGGTGTGAGATATCTTTGTGATTTATGTGATTACGCAGCAATTTCTATAATAAATCTTAAAAAACATATTGAAAGTGAACACGAAGGCGTGAGTTATCCTTGTGATAAATGTAAGTACACAGCAACATGCACTAAAACTCTAAATAGTCATATAAAGATTAAACATGAAGGAGTGAGATATCCTTGTGATAAATGTGAGTACGCTGCAACAACTCGAACTCATCTTAAAAGACATATTGGAAGAAAACACGATGGAATAAGATATCCCTGTAATAAATGTGAGTACACTGCTAGTGCAATAAGTGATCTTAAATTTCATATCAAGAATATACATGAAGGAGTAAGATATTCCTGTGTGATGTGTGAGTACGTTGCAAAGACAGCAAGTGACCTTAAAAGGCATGTTGAAAGTAAACATGAAGGAGTGAGATATCCCTGTGAAAAGTGTGATTATGTTGCAACTACGAAAAAATGCCTTAAGATACACATCCAGGGTAAACATGAAGGATTAAGGTATCACTGTGATAAATGTAATTTCACTGCTGCAACGAAAGGTAATTTAAGAACACATATTAAGATTAATCACGAAGGTGTGAGGCATCATGGTGATAAATGTGAGTTCACAGCGAAAACGTTAGGGAGTCTTATAACACATTTAAAGAGTAAACACGAATAAGTGAGATATCCCTGTGATAGATGTGAAAACAAACAAACTAGTGCAATTTTCATTGGTGGATTTGGTTCAACCAGTCATGACGCATTTTTACCCATCTGGAAGCAATCGAAAATTTGATAAATATTGAGTTTCCTGGTGTTTCATGGCAAAGCACTGGCGCATTTCTAATTTGAAATTTAATTTTTTACAACATTGTTTTATTTATTGTTTTATTTTAATCCTCTGCGGATTGGATGAAAGAAAACCAAGAAGAGGAAACTAGATGGAGTGAGATATCCATGCGATAAATGTGAATATGCTACACCTTTCGCACATAGTCCCAAAGAAAATATTGCGACTATACATGAAGGAGTGCGATATCCTTTTGACAAATGTGGGCATTCTGCAACTACAGCAATTAATTTAAGAACTCATATTGAGAGGTTTCTTGAGGGAGTGAGATATCCGTGTGATATAATGCGATTTCGATTTAACTCGAGCTTATGGTCTAAAACTTCATATTGAGAATAAACATAAAGGAGTAAGATATACTTATGTTAAATGTGAGTATCCTGCAACTACACCAAGATGTCTAAAAAGGCATATTGAGAGTAAACATAAAGGAATTAAAAGACATCCTTGTGATCAATAATATTCTGCAAATAAAGCATCCCGGTTAAGGAAACATATGTGGAGTAAACACTAAGTTAATATCTACGGCCCCTAGATAAAATATTGTATCTAGGCGACGGCCACATGCTATTTAAAAATAATGCTGTATTGAAAAAAGTTTATTATTGTTCAACAATTTTATTCTATTTCTTTTGCAGAGAGAATGGCTGTAAACATAAAAGAGGAAAAAAAAATGGAGAACATTGAGATTAAAGAAGAGATTCAGGAAGATATACTTCCATCCTCTACTGTAGAGAAGACATTTCCTACGCTGATAAAAGATCAGATTTGTTCCATCAAGGAAGAGGAAATCCTTCAATCTTCTACTGTAGAGGACACATGTACAATTTATATAAAGGAAGAAGATGTTAAGATGGAAAATACAAAAGAAAAAGGTAATGGTTTAAAAATCTTCAGAATAAGCGAATATTCTTCTACAATTTACAAAGTAAGAAAGTCTATTTTCTTCAATTGGTTTCATCATTGATAATTGAAGAGAAATAATAATTATTTCATAAATTCTCTATAAAATATGAATGAATTTGAGGTGAAATAGTAAACCAGGAAGAGGATCCTTTGCTGTCTGTTAAATGTAAAACTCAAGGTAATGCTTAAAACTATATTCTTTAATAAAGACAGTTAATATTATTCCTTTTTCAGTCAATTTAGGTAATAATGCAAGTATAAAATGGAAAAAAGGAAAAACTGTGCTTTCAAGTTCATGATAAGATTTTAAAAAATGAAATCTTTGGTTTTTCAATTATCTTCCTTATATTCCTCTATGGATGGGAAGTGGGGGGGGGGGGGGTTAAAAATGTTGAATTCACAGGACCAATGGTGAAAATAAATGATTTTTTTCAAACGATTTTAATTCAATTAAATCAAAAACTTTTATAATATCAAGGATTTCCATTAATATTTTAAACTCTCCACTGACTAGTCCCTAGAGTGAGAGAGGAATGGTTGTATTTGTTTCGCTACTTAGCGATTTCCCTAAAGACCTAATATATGTACCGTGTGGTATTTCTCAGGATTGGATCGTAAGACTCCCTTCTCTCAACGCTCTTCATAATAAAAAAGGAAGATAGTAAGGTTCCGAACGTTTATTTCTCTGAGCCTTCAATCTAAACAAGTTTAATAAACCCACAGAAAAAGCTTTGAGTGAAAATCATACAATTATAACAAATAATCCACTCAGGCATTAAAAAACTGTGGCTAGGAACCAACAAACAAATACATAATCATCAATCATACTAGAATCAACCGATAAACATAGATATATATAAAATAATTACCACGGTGATCCCAGAATTCTGAACACGGATAATACTTGCAAAACGAATAAACATATACTGAATATAAATTTAACTACTACTCTGCGAGAAATCTTGCGTCTGCGCAGTCGGACTGTAAACAGTTCCTAAACTAGTTTTTTCACAATACATTCCGTACAGATCTTCAGGAGAAACTCAGAAATACGCAGAGGCGACAAACAGACTTTCTATACGCAGCATGGCTCGCGTAACAGTATTTATTAATCTGCGGATTACCTGGATAACAGGTTACAGATTCTCTTAGATATTCTTATGCACGCACCCCCACCCTTCATATCTTACAAAACGGAGTTTATGATTAAACCTTAAACTGTAATTGTTTAGGTGAAATCGTCAACGATGAGAAAGGGCCTAGTACGTCTAGTATATCAAGCAAAAGAAAACATCTCTGCGATAAGTGTGAGTATACCTCAACTCGATTAATAGATCTCAAAAGACATAAAGAAAGTAAACATGAAGGAGTGAGATATCCTTGTAATATATGTGAATTTAATTTTACTAGACCTAGTAATCTTAAAATACATGTTGAGAGTATACACAAAGGGGTGTTACTTATCTGCGATAGATGTGACTACACTACGACTCGAAAAAGTGATCTCAAAATACATATTGAATGTAAACATGAAGGAGTTAGATATCCATGTGATAAATGTGGGTTTGTGGCAAATCTGGCGAGCACTCTTAAAAAGCATATTGCAAGTAAACATGAAGGAGTGAAACATCCTTGTGATAATTGTGATTATGCTGCAACTACAGTAGGAGATCTTAGAAAACATTTTGAAAGTAAACATTCAGGGGTTAGATATCCTTGTGATAAATGTGAGTACGCTGCAACTAGACCTATTAATCTTAAAACACACATCGAGACTATGCATGAAGGAGTTAGGTATCCATGTAAACAATGCGACTACGTTTCAACTTCTACAAATGCTCTATATAGACATATTCAAAGTAAACACGATGGAGTGAGGTATCTCTGCAGTAAATGTGATTACGCTGCAAGCAGGCCAGGCCATCTGAAAAGACATGTCGAAATCATACATGAAGGAGTAAGTTATCCTTGTCAATATTGTGAGTATTCTGCAACTAGACCAACACATCTGAGGTTACACGTTGAGAGAAAACATAAACAAAGTGAGATATCTCTATGATAATTTGGAGTACAACGCAATTACAAAAAAAATATAAATTCCTGATTTTAAAAAATGTGTTGTACCATTTTTAAAAGGGTTGTTCATGTAGATAGTATTCTAAAATTATGAGCAAATCAAAAGATTTTCTGAACAAATTTAGAAGTGACATAATCAAATATTTAAGTTTCTTATTAAAATAAAAAAACGCTTAAAAGGACTCTTTGTCTTTCTTGAATACAAGATTTTATTGCGTTTTATTACCGGGCAATTGAAAATTAGGGATTTGCGTAATAATGCATATACACGATGTTAAATCTTTTAAGTTCTAAATTTGTGTTACTATATTGTTAAATCATTGATTGACGGTAACAGAACTAACTTTAAGTTTACACTCTGCCAATAAATAACATTTTGTCTTTACATTTAACTTTCTGTAGGGGTGGATTTTCTTTTTTTTATAGCCAAATCCACCCCAGTTGAAACGGGGGGGGGGGGGATTATTAAAAGTAAACTTAAAAGGGAACACGCATAAATGATATTAAAGTTCATCTTGAGAGAGTAAACACGAAGGAGTGAGATATCTGTGTGATAAATGTGATTACACTGCAACTCAAGGTAGTAATCTTAGAAAACGTTTTGGAAGTAAACATGAAGGTGCAAAGCTCCGCCACAGTACGCTGCAACTAGAGCTGACAATCTTAAAAAAACATGATCTATTCAAGTAAAAAAAATAATTCTCAATAAAGCTAGAATTATTGCGCACACACCTTTATCTTGCTTTCTACTTTTATCCAGCTTTTAACATTCTTCTTTATCTACTTAATGTTCGAAGTTCAATGATTTAATGATCCTTATCCTTTCCTCCGTCAATTTAAAGTCGACTTGAAATCTTCTGTCAACTAAATTTTGGCATTTATTCGTCAGTTCCTAGCTTTACGAGAATGCTTCTTGATAAAAAACAAACATCACAAAATAAACCTGGTCTTGGCTTTTCCAAAGTATGGTCGACCTTTTCGGTGTTTTAAATATTACCAGAATATTTCATGAATATCACTGTAAAGAAGGACGCTCATAACATGTTAAATTTTACAAATAACAAAAGGTCGTCTTCATTATATTGATATATATATATATATTCCTACCACTGTACATTACGGAGATTAACAATGAATTGATCATTTCTATATTTAAATACAAGGTGTCTCTGAAAAAAAGCGTGTTTAGACTTTTTAGTCTAATAAACATCGTGTATTGTGTTAAAAAAGTGCTCCTAGTAGGTAAAATTACCATTAATGGGGGAGTCGTCGATAAACTATTTTTGTCTAAAATGCCGTTTTAACCTTTAAAATTAGGCCTAATATTAAAAAATTTAATCGGTTTCATTTCCGAAGGCAGTAATTGCGTTTTTACACACTAATCGCTGTTTTAGTGTCCTTCAAAGTGTATCTAGTTGGTACAATGCCCATAAATTGGGGGGTTGTCGTTAAAACATTTTACTCTAAAATGCCGTTTTAGCCTCAAATTGTACTCGAAATGTAGTCGGTAAAAGTCGAAATCCTTAATTTTCATTTAGTTTAAAAAATTCTCAATTCTATTATTGAAATTGTGCAATTTATTCTTTTCTTTCGTATAAAACGTAAAAGTAAAATTATAATTTAAATTTTTTTGAAAATCTTTACATCAGAGACCGAGCACATTTTTAACAGTTTTCTATTTATGATTCAGCTGAGAGTTTCTAAGTTCAATGATTCTTTTATCTGATTTGCGGATTTTTTTTTTAAGTTTTGCAGATTTTTGTAAGTTGATCTTAATACTATTTTAATTGCAATATCTAAATGTAAATATATTTAATATCCTGCAATTTCTTAGGAGCTGTGCATTCAAATTTAGAATTAGATTTAAAAGCCCCATTTATGTAAATAATGAAATGTAAAATTTCAGAGAGAATGGCTGAAATCATAAAGGAGGAATTGGAAATGAAGAATATTGAGATTAAAGAAGAGATTTTAGAAGAAATGCTTCCATCCTCTACTGTAGAGGATATATGTACTGTTTATATAAAGGAGGAAGACATTAAGGTGGTAATTTCTCAAACAAACGGTAAGACCTAATAGATCTAAAGCAATCATTCTTATTTTTTTTCTTCATTGTTCATATTAAACTAAAAAAAGTGCCACAAGGATAAAAATTTTAAATCTATGATTCCGATATCCTACTTTATTATATTTTATTCGTTGTTTTTTTTATATTTTTTATATTTATTGATGAAATTGGTATTCATAATTTATTTAATTTTTTGGCTTTTTTATTCGCTTTATCGATACAGCTTTTATTCATCCTATTTCACGGATCTAATACTTATAATTTATACCGATATTTTCATATAATCTAAACATGGAATGTTTTGTTTAGGTGAAAAAGTAAATCAGGAAGAGGATCCCCTGCTATCTGACTCAAGGAGAAAAAAGAAGAAAATAGGAGGAGTTAGATATCCATCTGATAAATGTGAGTACACTGCTTCTACAGTAGCGCATCTCAAAGAACATATTGATCATAAAGGAGTGGGATATCCATGTAAAAAATGTGATTACGCTGCGACTCGAGCATTTGATCTTAGAAGACATATTGAAAGTAAGCATGGAGGAGTGAGATATCCTTGCGATAAGTGTGGGTACGCTGCAACAACAGCAAGTAATTTAAGATATCATATTGAGACTAAACATAAAGGAGTAAAGTATCCTTGTGATGAATGTGAGTACGCTGCAACGACACCAACTGCTCTTAAAGTTCATATAAAGGTTAAACATGAAGGATTGAGATATCAGTGTGATAAATGTGAGTACGCTGCAACTACAACACATATTCTTAAGAGACATATTGAGAGTAAGCATGAAGGAATGCGATATCCTTGTGATAAATGTGGGTACGCTGCAACTACTGCAAGTAAATTAAGATATCACATTGAGACTAAACATGCAGTAGTGAAGTATCCTTGTGACAAGTGTGAGTACACTGCAACGACACCAAGTGTTCTTAAAATACATGTTAAGAGTAAACATGAAGGAGTGAGATATCCTTGCGATAAATGTGAGTACGCTGCAACTACGGCAAGTAATCTAAGATATCACATTGATAGTAAACATGAAGGAGTAAGATATCCCTGTAATATATGCGATTACGCTGCAAAACAAGCAAAGAATCTTGAATCACATATTGCTACAGTACATGAAAGAATAAGAAGGCATCCTTGTAATAAATGTGAATATGCCACAACTACAGCATATCAGTTAAGGAAACACATATGGAGTAAACACTAAGTATACCAATTGTAAAGTTTGGGTCAAAACCTTTAAAAGATCACTTCATATGTTTAAAACAAGATTTTTTATTCACTCATTCATTTCACATAATAATGATCTTTAGAAACTTACTAACAAATAATTAGTTGATAGCTAAACAAACAGTACAAAGTATATTCAAAAAATGTCCAAAAATAAACAAATTGTCTTAATGATTAAATTGAATGATGGAATCCTTGAGATAAATGTGAATATCCTGCAACTTCAACAAGCATTCTTAGAACACATACTCGGATTAAAGTCTGATTCTTAGATATTGAGTGAAATATTTGTGTGATTCATTTTAAGATGTGAATTTGTTGGAAGCATATTATTTTCTGTTCACATTTCTCATATAACAAAGTTTCTAAGTTATATCCTTCTATATATAAATTTGGCTTGTCTGTCTGTCTGTCTGTGTGTATCCAATAAACGTCAAAACGGCTGAACCGATCGGGCCCAAATTTTTTGTGGGACATTTAGGGACCCCAGGGAAGGTTTATGAATGATTGAAATTTTAAATATTTGTCTCCATCTAAATTCGATCGTCATTAAATTTTTTAAAATTTTGAAAATCCGCGAAATTTGTTGTGAAAATCCGCGAATTATTTTTGTTTTGTTTTATGATGTACACAAAGAGAACATGTTCACAATTAATTTAGAAGATGGGCGCGAAGCGCCCTCTAAGGCTAGAAAGAAGGGCGCGAAGCGCCTTGAATTTCTAGTATTTTAAAAAAGCCGAATCTAACCTGTTCCTGTGTCAATGTCTTAATCTCTTAAAGTTCTTCTTCCTATTTTAAAATCAGCTTTCCAGATAGAATGGCGGAAATAATAAAAGATGAAATGATAAAGACCGTTTTCGTGAAGGAAGAAATAACTGAGGAAGCGTTTGAGAATAATGTGATGAATTCTAGCAAGGATGAAGTAAATACTCCTTCTACTGTTGAAAATACATGTACTGTATATGTACAGGAAGAAGATGTGAAGATGGAAGTTTCTGGAGATGAAGGTATTTTTTAAAAAAAGGAATTAAACTTATTTTCTAAATTATAAGAAAATATAAACAACTGAAAATGTTTGAAAAAAGATTCACAATTTCCTACCAATAAAGATGTTTTCATCATTTCCCCTGATTGATAAAAGAATGCAACAAAAATATATGTTTAACCTGATACTTCTTTATTCTGTTGTTCTACTTTTTTCATCCAATTATCGTTTCTCATTCACTCATTTCTTACTCATTTCTTCCTATTTTTTATTCATTCAATTCTTCTGTTATTTTATTTTATTTTATTTTATTGATGTACTTACTATTTATGTCATTTTTCATTTATTTATTTATTTAATTATTATCTATTTATTTATTTAAATTGATTGATAGATTGGTTGATTGATTGATTGATCGATCGATTTATCGATTTATCCATTTATCCATTCATCCATTCATCCTTTATCCATCCTTCCATTCATCAATTCATCCATTCATCCAACACCTCGACACCTCGATCCTTGATCATATCAGATTATTCACGTAATCCCAAATATTAAAACTTTTCTTCATATGTCAGGCTTTGACACCCTGAGCTCTTCCTACTGCCTTTCTTTTCACATTTTCTAATTTATTTTTGTCATGTTGGTTCCAGGGTCTCCGACTTGATACAGAGAATTCCTAGATACGAACATATTATTTGTACAGCTTTAGGAAATGCCTTGCAGATCTGATCTAGATAAATACTTATATTTAGTATATTTTGAATATAGAATTTGTTTAGGTGAAGTAGTAAACCAGAAAAATGGTCCTCTGCTATCTGAGTCGAGGAGAAAAAAGAGCAAAATAGGAGGAGGGAGATATCCTTGTGATCAATGTGAATATAGTGCAACTGCAGTAGGTAATCTTAAAAAGCATATCGAGAACAAACATGAAGGAGTTACATATCCCTGTGAGAAATGTGATTATATTGCAACTGCTACTGGTAATCTTAAAAAGCATATTAAAATTAAACATGAAGGAGTGAGATATCCTTGCACTCACTGTAAGTACGCTGCAACCACAGTTAGTGATCTTAGAAGACATATTGAGATAAAGCACGTAGGAGTGAGATATCCTTGCGACAAATGTGAGTACGCTGCAACCACAGCAAGTAATTTAAGAAATCATGTTGAGATAAAGCACGTAGGAGTGAAATATCCCTGTGATAATTGTGAGTACATTGCAACCACAGCAAGTAATCTTAAATCTCATACTGCGAGTAAGCATGAAGGAGTGAGCCATTCCTGTAATATATGTGAGTTCACTGCATCTAGAGCAGGTCATCTTAAGGTTCACATTGAGAGTAAACATGAAGGATTGAGATATCCCTGTAATAAATGTGATTTCTCTGCAACTACCGCAAGTAGTTTAACAAGACATATTAAGCGTAAACATATAATTGTGTGATAAAATTGTTATGAATAATATAATAATAAAAGAGAACATGATTATGTAATTAAAAGTAATCCTTCATAGAGCTAGAATTATTGCATCGCGCGCTCATTTTTCAAGTTTTTACTTTTCTTCTGTATGTACATATGTAATGTTCAATAATGTTATGCTTCTTTGCAAATTTCCACTAACATTTTTTGCTCAATTTATTAAAGTTAATATATCATATTAAATCACTCTCCTCCTCTTAAATATTGCGGCCTTACACTTGATGTTTTCCTCAACCTCCTTGATTATCCGTCCTGGGAAAGAACTGCAGCATCCAGTTGTACTTTCTCTTCTTGACTATGTTGACTTAGACGAAGGAGTAATTTGTTCATATTTATGACGTTGACAAACTTATCTCTAGTCCAAGGCGGTTGAAAAAGCCCATGAAGTTTTTAATTTGCAATAGTTATTTATCTGATTTGCGGATTTACTTTTCAAATTTCGAAGATTTTGTAATTTCAAAATTTACCTTCAATGCATCTAATATATAGGGCATGTGATCGCAATGTGACATAAAATTACCATTGTAAAAATATTTAATATCCCACAGTAAATCAGAGCCCGCGATTTAAAAAACTCGGATAAATACGGCTCGGGTCTAAGCTGTCGTTGGACCTTATTTACGGCTTGAGCTTTCGGATTAAAGCTGCATCTAATTTTCCACAGAGTTGAATTAAAAAAACCGGTTTAATGTTATATTTGGCGGATTTTCATGGTAGGAATTGGCACATTCCGGGTTTTGATGAGAACAAGACGCAACATTGAGCCTTATTCTCCACTAAAACCAACCAAGGTCGGTTTTATTTTCATTGGGCCTAACTCCTTCAGTCGAGCCGAAGATCTTGCAGCTGTCAATCACGTGACACAAGCTGTCATTAGAGTTGGGTCTAAGATTGGGTCTTAAAGTCGGGTTTAAGGAATTAAGACTCGAGCCGAAGCTTTTAAATCGCGGGCTCAGTAGTAAATAAATATGTTTGAAACATTTAACAGCCCCATTTTTGTATAGCCGGCCAAACGGCTACTGAAGAAACATGAAGAATTGAAATATCCTTGTGACCAATGTCACAACAAACAACAACAAACGGCCTCAAAACGCATATTGAGAGTAAACATGAAGGAGTCAGATATCCTTGTGACGAATGTGAGTTCGCTTCAACTACTAAAAGTGATCTTATTGCTATTTTATGCCCCTGGGTAGTGCCACCAAAAGCAGTTTGTTCTAACCTCGTAAAGTCTGATTTTTTTAAAACAAATAGGGCGTTGGCAGATGGACTGGGGGCCTCTCATGGACCTCTCCTTAGACTGCGGGACTTTCAGGGGTCTCTCGTCGGACTGGGAGTTTCTCATAGACCTCTTCCCGGACTGGGTGGTTCTCAGGGACCTCTCCTTGGACTGGGGGGTTCTTATTGAACTCTCCCTGGACTGGGGGCCTCTCATGGACATCTCCTCGGACTGGGGGGCTATCATGGACCTCCCCTCGGATTGGGGGGCTTCACAGAACTCTCATCGGACTGGGAGGCTTTCATGGACCTCTCCTCGGACTAGGGGGCCCACTTTGACCTCTCCTCGGACTTGGAGGCTCTCATGGACCTCTCCAAGGACTCGGGGGCTCTCATGGACATCTACTCGGACTGGGGGGCTCTCATCGACCTCTCCAAGGACTGGGGGGCTCTAATGGACCACTCCTCGAAGGGGGCGGTGACATTGTGGTTTGTGTTTTCACATGTTCTCCTCTTTATCCTTTTGCTCCTTCTCCTTCGGGTTCTTAAGGACTGAGACCATGGAGCTTGCAATTTTGAAAAATTGAAGTACTCAATACCTTCTCTGAACCACAGTTTTAGCTCCACCTCTACCCCAGCTTGTAAACACTCCCTATATAATCCCAAAACTCGATGAGGAAAACTCATTTTAAAGTATGTTAACTAAAGGTTTTGTTTATCTTGCCTCATAGCTGTGCCGGTACTGAATTGAAATGCCGAAAATAGATAGTTATGACAATTTTAGTTCATTATGTCATATTTTCTATAAATGGAAAATTTCAGAAAGATTGGCCGAAAACATGAAAAAGGAAGAAATCAAGATGGAATATAATGTTAAAAAAGAATTTAAAGAGGAGAAAGAAGAAATCCTACAGCCCATCACTGTAGAGGAGACATGTACTGTTTTTATAAAAGAAGAAGACGTTAAGAACGAATTTCTAGGTACAGATTAAGCTTTGTAATTTAGAACAACAATTAAAGTTGACCATAGTCATTAGTCAATCATAGTTTTTTTCGTTTTCAATTTAATTTCTTTAGATGTAATCATGAAGAACGAAGAGATCCACTCGGTTTTAATCTTAAGAACGAGAAGGAGGGATTAGGAGAAAGAAGGTTTACTTGTAATAAATGTGATTTCATCACAACTGTCTCAAATGATCGGAATAGACACATTAAGTTTAATCACGAACGCTATAACACCCCCCGGCCACCCATGAGTGTCCACAAAAAAATTCATCCCAATCGGTTTAGCCGTTTTGCCGGCTATATGCAACAAATATATATATATATATATATATTATATAGAGTAGGTATTCATTGCGGTGTTTTGAATCTTTTCTTCCCAAACAACATAATTAGTTTTTTTAAACCAACAAATCACGTATTTTCAATAATAAAAAAATAGAATTTAAACCTCTTTTTCAGTTTAATATATTTTAAAAAAAACATTGAAATCTGAAAAAATTGGCCTTTTGTGATTCCAGACTTGAACACATAAATTTCACGAGGACGGGGTCATTCATTTGGCGTACCGTCCAGTTTTGTTTTGTACTGTACAGCTTGCTCTAGCTGAATTAAAGTCGGCACGGTACTTGAAATGCACCAGAGTTTACAGTATGGAGTAAACATAAGCATTAAATTACATTACTGAAACACTTCTATGATTTTATAAGGATAAATTAATTATTATTCTCGTAAGAGGATTGTTAAAGTTAAATACATTTAATAAAGAGAAATAGTTTAATGATGTTATATGCATTTTAGATTAAGTTTTTCTGAGAAACTAAATATTATAAATCTAAATACAAATTGATTGCCTTACAAGACATCTGTTATCCAAATAATTAATGTCTAATTAAAATTTGTCAGATAAATGCAAAAAAATGAAAATGAAAAATACGACGCAGTAAATGTATACACCATAGGCTTTCAGCCTGCTCCACGTCCCATTCTTTTAGTAAGATAGATATTGAGTTTTGCCTTCTAACAGAAATCATAATTTGACAATATCTACGGTGTACTAAATAGGGCTGCAAAGATATAGGGATAAGAAAAACTGAGTTTCTGACAAAGACTAAACTTCTTTACCCACTTTTTCTTCCAGATCATAAGACTAATAATTTTGCGGATTTTATTAGATGGAATTGAAGGATTTAACATTTCTCAGATAAAAACATTATTTTTCAAAATTAACTGGCTATTACTCTATTCAGAATTAAATCTAAAGATAAGAACTATGGGAAAAAAATTTACCACGGGAAATAATCTTGTTTTTGATAAAATAATTTCACAAAATTATTTCACCGGACATGAAAGAACCTATTATCCCATAATTTTTAAGTACTAATATGTTTTAAAAAATTTGGTGCCATGCAATACATCATTAAACAATAACAATTAAAATTTTCTATAATTCACCTTTTTTAACAAATAGATAAAATATTTTAATATTTTTGTAAAAATTTGGTGCCATGCAGTACATTATTAAACAATAACAATAAAAATTTTGTACAGTTAAACCCTAAGCAAGCCATACATCTAATGAATTTATGAAATGTCGTCTTGACAATTTTCAATGGGTTTTTACGTAAAACTCAGTATTTGCGAAGATAAATTAATGGTCATGAATATCCAGGAATAGTTTTAAAGAGCTTCATATAATCATTAAATTAAAAAAACTAAATATCTGCAACATTCCATTATCAGAAAGTGAAGATTACGACATTTGATGAATTCTTTCGATATCTGGCTTATTTAGGGGTTTAACTGTATAATTCACCTTTTTTAACAAATGCATAGATAAAATACTTTTATTTAAATAAATTGCGCTGAAATTCGCAGCAATCGATTGAATTTTTTAACTTTGAAAAGCTTGATAATTTTCAAGGCTAAAAAAATGTTAAATGGTGTTAATGTAAATTGTAAGAAAGACATCAACAAACAATCAGAAACGTAATGCACCCAAACCATTCATTATATATAGAAATATACAAACTGGGCAAACTTTAATGGTGAATGAAGTTAACGAATGTTTATATTATCAATTCATTAACGAATTTTAACTTCATTACGAAGGGAGAAAAATTAGTTATTTTTAGTTTTTACCCGTAGAATAATAGTTCACACATCTCTAAACTAAACAGTTAATCATCATGAACTTATAAAATATATTTAAAAAAGGAATAGGCTTTTTCTCCTGACGCGTAAATAAAAATCTTAAAGTATCTCTCCATGATCACCCCACTGGTTTTTTCACAGATTTTAATGTTTGCAATTTTGATAAAAAAGGTATTAATTATTTTTTTTCAATTCTTGCAATTTTATCAATTTTACAAAAATTTCACTGCAAAATAATATTTTATTTATTATTTAATATTCTGTTTGGTATCAAACAACTTCACAAATTATGGAAGAAGAAATTTTTAACCATTCTCCAACTGTCATGTTTCGTGGGACACGAAATAATTAACAAGATGTATTTTTACATTTTGTTAAATATTTAATGGTAGTCTAAGAAATAACCTAGTCAAAAATCAAAGTTCTGTTTTCAATATGCAGACTCGAGTTGCACTTTAGTAAGAGTCTAAATCTAGGTTTATATAGTGGTCGGCAATTATATCAATACAATGAAGAAGATGTTTTATTTAAGTTTTGATTTCCATCAAGATTTTTTCAAATTACAAGTTTAAAAAATAAAAAATAGAAGCTCTTAATTGACAGCTTCTCCTTGTTTCCGCGTTAATTGTGTATCCATGCTGTTTGAAAACTTGGTAGAAATCTAAAATTTAAATCGAAAGTCTAATTGTATTGATATAAACGAAGTCGACTTTAGAATGTCCCAAAACTGAATATGTTCGTTAATTTTTTTTGTGTTTATGTTAATTAGAAGAACACGCGACAAATTAATGAAACATCAGAAAAATATTTTTGAAACGTTTACGTGTACTTGTCTTATTTCAATGGCTATTTCTAGATAAAATAAGCTTTGTAACACAGCAGAAGTCAAAATATAAAGCTGTTTCAACCAGTCATGATGTATTTTTTACTCATCTGGAAGCAATCGAAAATTTGATAAAAATTGAGTTTCTAGAGATGGAATTTGAGCCGCGGTTTAAATCCGCCAAAACCAGGTTTAAATTAAGCGCCGGCTTAAATCTTGAAACATTTGATACAATTTGAAGTTGAACCAACCATGTTTAAACCGCCGCTCAAATTCTTTAAATTCGGCCACAGGTGTTTCATGGCAAAGCACTGGCTCATTTATAACTTAATTTTTACAAAATTGTTTGTTTATTAGGTTTTTTTTATATTTTATATTTTGAATTTTGGTTTTTTCAGTTTATATATTCCATATGAAGTATGAGATGATCATTTTAGGAAAGTATTGAAAGTCTTCTGAGTGTTTCTTTGATTGAGCCAGTTGTTAGCCATGATAAGCCGGGAGGTGCCGACCATAGCATCTAACGATCGGGATGTGCTTCTTCGAGCAAACTTTGTCCTTCTTACAGGATTGAATCCTGGATACTTTTACGTTAAGTGAAAGGTTTTTTTTTAAATATGAAGTTGACTTCAAATTATTTTCATTTCAATTGAAAAAAATATATTGGAAATATTTCGAAGGTTCTTTCCTTTTTAGATTATATTTTTTCCCTCGCTAAAACTCGGCACAAAATATAATCTAAATGGCTTGAACCTTCTCGATAAAGAGAAAATTTCTGTCCAAAAACTTTTATAACACTGCGAACCAAAATAATAGTGTTGTAAATAGTTTTTTTTTTCCCCGAAAAATAAAATGCATTTATACAGCCTTTCTAATCTAATAAAATTCTTTTTATTATATTGGATATTATCCGTTTATAGGGTTTTGTTTGTTTATATTAAATTGATTTAATTAGATATTTATAAGAAATTGTCATAAAAAGTTCCGTAACCGAGCATCAGATGAATCAGATATATATACCATGCTAGGAAATTATAAGAAGGGCACTCTTTTTTTGTCAACATTTTCAATAATTAAAACTATCTTCTATTAGTTTTTTCATCATTTTTGCTTTAATCCTAACAAAGGAATATTTTTATATTACTGTTTTAGAAAAGAAATCGGTTCTCAGAATTTGTTGATATTCGACAAATATATAATTTTCAGTATTAAAAGTGATCAGCACACTTGTTACATTAGTTTACGCACGTCGCACAGAGGGTCCAAATAAACATGACAGAGATGCTTAACAGAGGGTCCATACACTCTCTGTAACAAAGGATTTTTTGAGAAGAAAAAAACATAGCCAGCCTCAACATTTCCCATCTCCATCCTCTCCCTACTCCTCACCTCTCCCTACCCCTCACCTCTTCCTACTCNCCAACCTCACCTCCCCTTCCCAACCTCACCTTTCCTTCCCAATCTCACCTCCTCTTCCCAACCTCACCTCCCCTAACCAACCTGACCTTCCCTTCCCAACCACACCTACCCTTCCCCTACATCACCTTCACTTCTCCCACCTAATGCTAGCTCCCCTTCCAAATCTAACCTTCAGTATCCCATCAACAGCCTCCCCCCTCCCCGAACCTTAATACATCTAAGTATAAAGTTTGACGTGCATAGTAAATATTAGGACCTTTTTAATTTGAGATATTCAAGTGTTTCTGAAGATGGACTACAGGGTTTCATGGTATTTAAGATGTGTAGATCTCATTCAACACTCACTCAAGCCCCAGCTTCAGAGTAAGGTAAGCACCGTATGCACAGTTTTGAATATAGAAAATATATTTTTTTAACAATTTAAATGTTTCCGATTTTTCCGGATTAACTTGATCCCCTTAAAGGAACTGTTGAATGTAGATATGATTTAACTCTCTATTTCTAGTGCGACATTTTCCATTTACAACGGTAAACCCTTTAAACCTTTTTCTGATTAAGAAATAATTATATATTAATATTTTTCTACCTGGAATTTTTTTTTACAAACTTGTGATTTCTTTAGAACAGTAATTTTGTGGTTTTATGTTGAATTAAGCGAACTATCAGAATTCAGCAGATTTCTAGCTCGATAAACAACGTATATTTTATTGTTGCTGTACTAAGCATAAAGGGTACTGTCTCTTTAAGCGATATGATATTTAATATTGATATTTTTAATGAAAGAAACCTTCTTAAATCCTAAAAAGGATGAGAGAACTATAAAAGTGTCCAGTGGCCGAATTTAAAGAATTTGAGCGGCGGTTTAAATTTAAGCCGCGGTTTAAATATGGTTGGTTCCACTTAAAATTGTATCAAATGTTTCAAGATTTAAGCCGGCGCTTAATTTAAACCGGGTTTTGGCAGATTTAAACCGCGGCTCAAATTCTTAAAATTCCATCTCGGGAAGTTTACATTTTTGAAATATTCTTTAGAAACGGATTTTAAAACATGTCAACTGCACGTTCATATTTGTAAAAAAAAATTTCTTATTTTTTATTATTTTTTAACCCATTAGTGAATTCTTTCTCTTAACTTTCAGAGGACACTTCTAAAGGAGTTGAGTTTTTGCCACAAACTCAAATTTTCGAATGCCAAAATCTTAGCAACTTGATGGTGTAAACCTTTGATATTTCAAACTTAGATTGTTTTGTCTAAAAACATTCATAGTTTGAAATAGCTAAGGTTTACGACTTTGGGTTGCAAAGATATTGGGATTAGAAAATCAGAGATTGTGACAAAGACTCAATTCCTTTGACATTAAATTGATTTATGAATTTTTGCAAAACAACAAAATCAGATTTTTGTTTAATTTATGAGTAAAAAATTAACATCTTAAATCACTCTTAGATACTGACAATGGGACTGCATTTCATCCTATTTTTGAGTGTTCTAATCAATATTAATACTTCAGTTCTAACTGGTGAGCTTTCCCTTTATATATATATTTAAAGTGATTCTTCATTTTTAAAGTGGCATCACGTCAAACTGAAGTAAATATGTGTTATGTGTTAATTACAAGCAACACGTCAAGCTGAAGTAAATATCTGTTATTTGTTAATTACTAGCAGCACGTCAAACTGAAGTAAATATATGTAATGTGTTAAGTACTAGCATCACGTCAAACTGAAGTAAATATCTGTTATGTGTTAATTACTAGCAGCACGTCAAACTGAAGTAAATATCTGTTATGTGTTAATTACAAGCAACACGTCAAACTGAATTAAATACCTGTTATGTGTTATTTACTAGCAGCCCATCAAACTGAAGTAAATATGTGTACTCTATTCAGAATTANTCTGTTATGTGTTAATTACAAGCAGCACGTCAAACTGAAGTAAATATCTGTTATGTGTTAATTACTAGCAGAACGTCAAACTGAAGTAGATATCTGTTATGTGTTAATTACTAGCAGAACGTCAAACATTTTCCAAAATATCCAATCGATTTCAGACCATAATACAATATGTCTACCAATTATTCTTGATTGAAAACACAACGAAAATTCATTTCAAAATCTCAAAAGGAACATGGATGATAATATTATAAAATTTTAGTTTAATATTGACATTTTAACTTTCAACATTTAATATTTAGGAGATACTTTTGAGAATGTTCCTCAAGGTATAAAAAAAACTTTGACATTTTAATAATTTTTTTTTTCTATTTTAACATTTTTATGTTTTTTTCCAGAAACCGCTGTAAACAGATTAGAATATGATTGGGTTGTTCATCAAGATAAAGCACTTCTAAGAACTGTCAGAAAATCCAAAAGAAACCCACAGAAAAGTGATAATACAAAGGAGAACATTGATAAGAAAAATAAGAAGAATTCAGGCGGAGCAAAAAATAAAAATGGGAAAAAGAATAATAGGAACAACATAAACAAACCAAAACAGACTGGAAAAAATAAAAGGAAAATACCTAAAGAACCAAAAACAGAAAAGACAACAAATAAAAAACAAATTAGAACCGAAAATAATAAAAATAAAGAAAAAAAAAGAAGGAAGAAGAAAACGAAAATAATGAAAACAAAAACGAAAAGCCTAGCAAATACGCACCAAGAATCAAAGATGACAAAGATTGATGGCAAAATTGTAACAGACATTTGTGCAGAGGTAAGCATTTCTAATCCTAGAAAGCATCATGCCTCCATAGTAGCCTGGTCATCAAGCCAAATGATTCCTTAGAGGTACCCAATTTGGTTTAGACATTTGCCCAGCTATAGCTAACATATTTATATATATATATATATATATATATATATATTATATTTATT